AAAGCATATTTATTCCAACTCTGTACTACCAGTGCCAGACATGGTCACTCACAACAAACCATAAAAGAAAATTAGTAACCACGGAAATGAGATGTCTGAGAAGGGCTGTAGGAGTGACCATAAGAGATAAGATCAGGAATGAGATCATAAGAGAACAAGTCGGCACAGAACCAATTCTGGATTACATACAAAGACAGCAAGTGAAATGGTTTGCCCACTTACAGAAAATGCCTTGTGACATCATACCATACAAAGCATACATGGAAAGAGAAGAAGGACGTAGAGCACGGGGTAGACCAAGAACAAGATGGAAGGATAACATCAGAGAAACTCTAGAACAGCACGATGTGCCTATGGCCGAGGCAGCCAGAAGAGCTAGAAACAGAACCTTATATCTCCCTCGACACCCACAGCGGTAAAAGAGGAAGTGAAGAAGAAGAACTGCAGCTGACTGTTTATTAAATTAATAATTTTTTATAATCATGAAGTCATCATCAGCCCTTTGCAGAATATCGCTCTTGTCATGGCATGCCTACAAATCTCTCTTTCTCTAGTCATTTCTCAAACCCTACATGCTTTTATAGTCGAAGTACTGCAATTAAAAATCAAAATTGAGGTAGTAAAAACAAAACCAAAATGCTTACTTTCTCAGGATGCAGAAAAAAGAAGTCCCCTTCATGCTGCAGCCTACTGTGGTGAGGCAGAGATTGCTGACTTGCTAATTCTCAGTGGAGCTAGGGTTAACACCAAGGATAACAAATGGCTGACCCCACTTCATAGAGCTTGCTGTTCAAAAAGTGCTGTAAGTTATTTTTCATTCTCTAAAAAAAAAAGTTAAACAAAGGGAAGAAGAAGAAGAAGAAGAAGCAGCAAATTCCTCGTACTTATGTAACTTTTTATTTATATTTTATTTATTAGTATGATTGTTAAATGATATATGTTTATTACTGGTTAATTTAAAGATATTTACTTCTGGTCCAATATGATATATAGATGGCTTACCGCAGACACTCTGAGCAGTTCATTGTTTTATGGCAGGGTTTGTTGATGCAAATTCCCTATTTCTGGATCAGTAGTCCGAAAGTTTTGTCACCCAGCTACTACGTTGAATGTTTGGTGTGACACTCAGCTGTGGATTTCATGTGGAATATACTTTCTGTTGTGTCCATAAGGGCATTGGTCTGTGAATTTCACTACAAATGATGGGTGGCTGATCATGTTTCAAATGGCATGTACTTATGCAGTGCTGCATGCACAGTGTAGCTTTCCAAATGTACTGCTTGCATCAGTCTGTTAGTGTTAGCACATCTGACGGCTACCTCCTGCATTTACCTTGCATGTGCAAGCTTCAGCATTTTGTTGGGACTGACGTGAGTTTCACTAGTTTTTCAAATTGGGCAGTGAAGGACATTTTAAGTGATTTCTACTGGCTCAGGAGCAGAGCAGATATGGGATAACCTGTCTGTAGTGAGGTTGAAAACTGGACTAATGATGACTAATGACTAACATTATAGATAATTACTAACAAAATAAATTAGGATGAGCTATGAAGCATTGACATGTAGTTCCTGAGATGGGTGTTGTGAATACCTTGGAAAGCCAGAGTAACTGTACGGTGTGCCTGGAAACAGCTAATTCCTACACCATGCAGTAGAGAAATTCCCAGGTGTGGCCGGCTGGCATTCCAGTTGAATGAAATAGGGAAAGTCATGCATCACACCTTAGACTTCATAGAGATCTGTAACCTTCTCATCTTAACACCACTGGCAATGCAGAACAAAAAGAAGAAAATGCACCATTTAAATAAACATCAGTAATGTGTAAGTCTTAAGTACAAATGCTTAAATGTGCTCACATTAAGCCTGCATTTCTAAACAATAATAATACTATTAATATTGCTTACTTACTTACTTCGTCGCTCCTCTTCTACCTTGAGGTATAGAGGTTTGCCAGAAAAATCGCCAGATGTCTCTATCAGCAGTTTTCTTTCTGGCTTTGTTCCATTCCACTCCTCTGTCAGTTAGGGACTGTCAGATGTTGTCTTCCCAGTGCCCTCTGGAAGTCTGGTTCCCTAGTTCTTAGCCTCCCATGCCTGCCATAGTGGTCGATTATCTCCCATTCTGCATACATGTCCAAACCATCGTAACTGTGACTTATCCACTTGGGTTTGTAAGGATTGGGTATCAAGATCTTGCTGTATTTTCTGATTGCGGACTTTATCCCTTCTTGTCACTTGGACCACCTTTCTCAGATATCTGATTTCTGAGAGCCTAAAGCTGGCTTCTGTGAGCTGTTGTCATTTGCCCATGACTCACACTCATAGGTCAGGACTGGTACATAGGTAGAGCGGTAAACAGCTATTTTCGTCCTCTTGCCAATTTCTCTTTTGCTAAGAAACCCTCGGTTTATGGCCGGAAGTCTCCCAGCAGCTGCTTTTCTTGTAGCCAGCTCGGTCTTAATACCTCCATTTCGGTCTAATACAACTCCAAGGTATATGAACTATACTATACTATTAATATTAATTGTAATAAATCTAGGGAAGTATGCAATATGCCTAAAATACTTCTTCTTCTTCTTCTGTAGTCCTGTTCTGCCTTTCAGCGTCAGGTTTTGAAAAGGCATTGATGCGAGCCTTGGTATGTACTGTGTAGATACTGGTGTCTTTTGCCTGGATATTCCAACTATCCATCTCTTGTGTGATCAACCTCTGTCTCTATACTTCTGTTGCTTCTAAGTAGCAGGGCTCTCTGAGATGCACTGTCTGGTGATTGGTATTGACACATTTTCAAACCATTTGATCTGTTGCCTCTTGATGCAGTTTAGTACTGGTTCCGTCTCATCTTCTTTCCTGATATCATCTTTTCTGAGCCTGTCTCTTCTAGTTACATATAGGATTCATCGTAGAAATTTCTTTAATTTCTCTTGTTTCAGTTTTTCTTTTTTCTTGTGTTGTTAATATCCACACTTAAAATACTATTATCTTTTATGGTTGTATGTCACTTAGAGATCTGATCTGAAATGTGAATGCATATGCCACATGACAAGTCATAAGATGATTACTAATTTGTGACCTTTTTAAATTTATCTAATCTCTCTCACATAGACATGCCAGTGTATTGATGTATCTATAATGTGAGTGATTGAATAAGATCTTAACAATGACTTTTTGATATTCTAGGAAACAGTGGAGGTTTTATTGCGTCAAGAGGCTGATGTGAATGCCAGAGACAAAAATTGGCAGACCCCACTTCATGTAGCTGCAGCCAACAATGCAGTCAGGTGTGCAGAGTATCTCATCCCTTTGTTGACTAATGTCAATGTGTCAGACAGGGCGGGGCGCACTAGCCTGCACCATGCAGCATTTAATGGACACAAGGAGGTAAGCCTGTTAACACTAATCTAGAAAGTGTTGGCATGTTTGTGTTTTTATCATCCTTCTTTGTTTTAAGAAGAATTACACAGTTAAATAAAAATGGACAGACCCAAAAAAAAAGTGATATTGTGAGAAATAAAAATGTTAAAACTGTTAAAACAGTAGCCATAATTACCCACAGAGTGCTGATGGTCTGTAAAATATGGGACGCTCTGCCCATATGCCCGATGCGCCGAAAGGTGTGAAAAGGGATCTTTACTTTTTCTTTTTACATAATTAAAGGAAATGAGAAACAAAGACGGAAATGTTTCACCAGCTAGCGAGAATGATTCCAATGATGCCAGCAGCAAGATCGTACAACATGAAAAGGGAAACACCAAGGGGCAGAGGGAAACTAGAAGAACGTAGATTGAAGGCGTCACTAACCTCACATCACAGCATACTGCTGCGCCCTGGCTTGGCTATCTGTCATCCATTAACCTTTGATGCCTAGTGAAATGAAGCAGATATTGGCAACAGAAAAAGGAGAAAGAAAAGCGTAATGACAGTGTCTTGAAAGAAAATAACTCACAGATAAAACTGCTTACTTGCAAATCGTTCATAATGGTCTATGGGTGAATGTCTGAACACATCCGTAACAGGGGATTGGATTGGGGGGGGGGGGGGGGGGGTTGTAGTCATTATACACACATTAACACTTCCTTTTTCTTCTTCTCTTCCTTCCTGTTACCTCAGTTAAATGCTGGGGGAATCTCATTTACCTTTACTCCAACAATAACATTTACCTTTAATTCAACAATAACATTTACTTTTAATTCAACAAAAACATTTACTTTTAATTCAACAATAACATTTACTTTAATTCAACATTAATATTTACCTAAAATTCAACAGTAACATTTACCTTTAATTCAACAATAACATTTACCTTTAATTCAACCATAACATTTACCTTTAATTAAACAATAAAAATTTACTTTTATTTCAACAGTAACATTTACCTTAAATTCAACAGTAACATTTACCTTTAATTCAACAGTAACGTTTACCTTTAATTCAACAGGAACATTTACCTTTAATTCAGAAGTAACATTTACCTTTAATTCAACAATAACATTTACCTTTAATTCAACAGTAATATTTACCTTAAATTCAACAGTAACATTTACCTATAATTCAACAATAATGTTTACCTTTAATTCAACAGTAACATTTACCTTTAATTCAACAGTAACATTTACCTTTAATTCAATAGTAACATTTACCTTAAATTCAACAGTAACATTTACCTATAATTCAACAGTAACATTTACCTATAATTCAACAATAATGTTTACCTTTAATTCAACAGTAACATTTACCTTTAATTCAACAGTAACATTTACCTTAAATTCAGCAGTAACATTTACCTATAATTCAACAGTAACATTTACCTTTAATTCAACAGTAACATTCACCTTTAACTTGACAATAACATTTACCTTTAATTCAACAGTAACATTTACCTTTAATTCAACAGTAATTTTACCTTCAATTCAACAATAACATTTACCTTCATTTCAACAATAACATTTACCTTTAATTTAACTATAAAACAATGACAAACAAATTGTTGTTTTCCACTTAGATGGTGAGTCTGTTGATTGAGAAAGGAGCCACCATCAACGCCTATGACAAAAAAGATAGACGAGCTATTCACTGGGCAGCTCACATGGGTCATGTGGAAGTGGTGAAGATTCTTGTGGAGCATGGGGCAGAGGTCAATTGTAGAGATAAAATGGTAGGTACTATTTGTTGCAAATTTGATAAATATTCTAGTTTTCTTCTAATCGCTCACAGGCTGTAAACTCCTGTGAAAAGTCCTGGTTATTTGTCCACTTCTGGGCTCTGATATTGTTCCAGTAGTTGTGCACATCCATTTTACAGATCTGGCTTATTGGTATGCAGACTGTTGGTTCCTTTCCTCTCAGGCAGATGCACTCTGACTTTGAAGGAAACACCCCTGATTAAACTTTTATGACATGCTTGTTAGGGAGACAGTGGATCTGTTCTCTTTATCTCAAACAGTATCCTGGAACCCTTATGAGGAGGTAGCTTCATTAAATCTATGACATCAAATCTATATTTCATTTTATATATTCAGTATCCAACTACTGGACGTAAATTTGCCTAGAAAAACCACAACAACCGATGCTGGGGTTGGTTCTGCAACATCCTGTAAAGGATAGGCAACTAACTTTTTTTATATTCATTGTAGCAATTAAATCATATTTGTGTTAAGACAGACTTTTTTTGGTATGCTGATAGTGACATGGAAAAAAATAAATACTTAAATGCTTCTGAAAGAAAAAACTATCTAACAATAAATATAGTACATGGAAAGTTCATATTTTCTGTACAAAATCCCATGTAGACACTTTATATTTTGCAGATACTTAGTTCCAAAATGGAGTAAAATTAATTACTATTCTTGAGCTTTTGGTTAGTGTTTTCTTAATTTAAAGTAATAATAATATTAGGGGGTTACTTGTAATGTTTTATTAAATTTTGTTTTATACTTGAGATACTCGTGGATGTGAGTCATGGACTGTAACTCGGCCTGTTAAAGAAAAATGTCTGAGCTTTTGAACTGAAATGCTACAGAAACATTCCTAGAATACCATGGACCAAGAAAAAGAAAAACATTGACATCTGCCTGACCTGAACATCAAGGAGATCTACCTCGTAAACAGCATCCTTTTTCGAAAGCTAAGGTATTTTAGACAGGTCAAGCGCCATAGCGGTTTAAAGACAACGTTAATGAAGGGTGTAGTTTCCAGAGAAGGAGACAGAGGCCACCATGAAGGTGGATATAAGACATTGAAGATGCATCGGCTATGAAAGCTTACTAGGCTGCAGAATTGGCGAGAGAAGGAGAGACTGTCAGGCATGAGGAAAAGAGAGCCATGTTCGGTAAAGAACACACTGAATGATTGATTGAATACCTAAGATAACCCTATGCTGCATTGATAAAGTGGCTAAAATGCTGTGTTATCTCTGTACAGATGTATACACCTTTACATGCTGCAGCTTCCAGCGGCCAGATTTCGGTGGTAAGAGATCTCCTGGAGTGCGGTGTGGAGGTAGATGCTGTCAACACTTACGGAAACACTCCACTTCATATTGCCTGTCTGAATGGGCAGGATGTTGTTGTCAGCAAGCTGCTGGAGCACTCTGCCAACCCTAATTCTGTGAATAATAAAGGCATGGTAAGGTCTATTCTGTTTGTTGAACTGTCATTGGAAAAACCCATTATTATAATTCTTCACAACTCTCTCTAAGAAACTAGAGGAAGAGAAGAAGAAGAAGCACAAGAAATGTGGAGTCTTGGTCAGTTTGTAAAAAAAATCCAGTGGGTTGAAATATATGACCATTGAGCAGACAGACAAGGCTGGTGGCTATTATGCCATTGTGACCCTTAAGTCACTAAAATGATAGATTTTTCATATTTAGAGTCATTATTTTTCAGAGAGGTAATGTGTTTAATTACTCAATATGAATGGAGCAAAGAAATAACTACCTTTCTTTCTTTTGACCAAGAAAACGGGAGTTTGTTGACTCAACAACAGAGATCAAATTGAACTTGTGAATTTCATATGATTTTTTTTCAACCACAAATGATATGTAAAAACATTGAGGGGGGGTAAATATAATCATACCCACCATGTCTACGCCTGTGCAGTTGCACACACCATCAAAGTTGTTAAATGGGGGTATTGGCCACAGCTCAAAGACATCATATCATCAGAAAACCTTAAAAGTAAGAAAACCAGCTTTCTCTGGATGACAGAGTTAAGCACATACAACACAAATTGTTTTATATATTGGTCCAAAGCACTTGGATTCTTATATCAGATTCAGCTCGTTATTTGTTTTAGAAAGTAGTGTATGTCAGTTGTCCTGACGATGCCGGATTAAACAAAAATGACCTTGACTTCCAGATCTACCCAGCCTTGAATGGCTACCAGGTGGAATTCTGGGAAGTAAAGGTGGCCTGTTGGATGCTGACCGCATCGTCCACCAAGTGCCATTTGTTGGTCTATAAAATATTGGTCTAGCCTTATATGCCCGGTATGACTGAAGGCGTGGAAAGGGTCCCTTACTTTTACCTATTTGATATGTAAACTGGCACACCCTTAAACAAAGCACACTTCTCATTGTATTTTAGACTCCACTACATTTTGCATCAGCTTCAACACATGGAAGCATCTGTCTTGAAATACTTGTTTCGGAAGGAGCCAATACAAAAGCACAGGTAGGAATTCACTTCTTATTGCCCATATTACATCTCACATATATCTTCTTCTTCTCTTCCACCGTTTACCTCAGCGAGGTATTGGAGGGAGATGTAGGGGTCATTTGTGCACTTTTTTCCAATGTACAAGTTCGTGTTCATTTCTGTTAAATTGCTCCTGATGATGTCGCTCCATCTCTTGTGTGGTCTTCACCTTGCTTTGTGCTCATTGTATATCTTCAGCTTGGCTATCTGTGGCAGTTGGTACCAGGGCATTCTCGTCAGGTGGCCAGACCATCTTACTTGTTATTCAATGAATTGTTTGGCTGGTTTAAGTCCTAGTCTTCTTTTAATTTCTTCATTCCTGATTTTATTTTTTCTTGTCACACCGGCAGTTCTCCTAAGACATCTCATCTCTTTTGTGATGATATTGTGACAAATATCTAATACTTCATTAAAATGTGAGGCAGACTTAATGTAAATTGTATACATTAGTGTAATTTCCTTCTTAGCAGTTGTTCATGTCTTCAATAGTCATTGTGGGATTACAAGATTTCATTGAGAGCATCACATTTTTTATTATTTGAGCTTCATATTACATAAATTGTGCAGTTTTTACATTTCTGTGAAAGCTGTTTAGTATATTCCATTAACATTGCTGTTACTATTTGGAATTACTGGTTCGTATTATACTTTAACTGCACTGTTTTGACATACCGGTTAGAAGAATGGTTAGATTTTCACTGAGAACAAAATAACATCAATCAATGGAGAACACAAGCTGAGACCTATTTAACTGTCTCTTATTAGCAGTGATATACTTGTGTCCTACATCTCTGTGAATTTTGATGTATGCTTTTTATGTCACTTTATTTTTTATTCTTTTATCTATTAGAAATAGTATTTATTATTCATTTACTATTTTTGTTTTGTTCGCTTTACTGGTAGAATATCTCTTTATAATTCTGTGTTTTTAAATATGTCAGTTCCTAGACCAACTCCTTCTGTCAGGCTATAAGAAAACATGAAAATATCTCAGTAATTAAAAAAAATAAAAATCTGTTAGAAAAAAAATCAGGCAGATGTAAAAGCATTGTACCACTTCTGTACTGTTATTTTATGTTTGTTGTTCACTTCTTGACTGATTTTCAGCAGCTAATTTAAATTTGATATGTTTCATTATAAGTTCCTTGTTAGTCTAATTTAAGTTCCATGTTAGTTTTCCTTCCCTTTTAAAGTTTAAACTATAGTTTTTTTATGTGAGGTGAATTAAGAACCGACATCATAGCATCCGGGACATTCCCATAAGTGCTTCGTTTGCCATCTTCAGCAGAGTTCCAGTTGCATTGGTACCAGTAACAGCCCGATTGTATGTCCCTCTTGTCTTTGCCCTGAAATTTGAGCATCAGCCAGATCCCCTGGTCACTCCTTGCTGCATCATTCTCTCCAGGTGGTGATGATCTGTTTGTGCCTCACGCTCTCTTAAAGGGCCCTTATAAAATCTAGCTTGACATGCATCAGTTGACCACAAAGTGGTCATTGAGAACCGTCCATTCTATCTGCCTGTTTGTTTCACAACACACCTGCATCTCCTGGAGAAAAATCATAGTTTAAAATAAATAAAAAGGTTAATGTATCAACTTCATTGTATCATTTTATCCCATTCGACTCAGCCTGTCTTTCAGAATAGCTGGCTGCCTGCAAAGAGGATTGCACAAATCATGAACTCTGTTGTTCTGCAATGATCCCCATGGAACTCCATAAGCACCGCACTCGTGAACTAGACACATGCTTGAGCACTTCCCACTGAGACCCCTTTTAAAATGTGTAATAATATACTCATTGTAACATTCTTTCTCTGGTTTCCTTTTGACTGGTACTGATGAATGTTTCTGTCTTTCCTGAATCAGTTTTTGAATAATTCACATCCTACCAGCACCTCACCATGTGTGGAGTTTTGTTTAAAGAATGTATTTTCAGTCATAATATAATGTTCTGTTAGTACTTCCGCTCATTCATTGCTGTAACCAAATATCTGTATTCTCCAGTTGAACCCCCCGCCCCCCCCCCCCCCCCCCCCCCCCCCCCCCCACCCCCCGCCCCCCCCCCTAATTTTTGTCTGTTTCTCTTTCTGAAATGTTTGTGTTGAGATCACTAAGTATAATGACATCATATGTGAGGTATTCATTAGATCTCTTTGAACAATTTATCATGTTTATTTTTTTTTAAAGTAAATCGACAAGACTAAGGCAGGAACCAATGTGTTAATGAAAAGACTAAAAGAATTTGACAGGACATAATTTTTATCAGAGCATAGGACATTGTGAAATAACTGGACAGGCTTCAAAATTGAAAAAGAAAATGTATCTTTGTCTTCAAAACTGAAAAATATATTTTTTTAAATAAAAATAATAAATAAATAAATTACTTTATAGTTTGACCATTTATTTTAATACCACAGTTTTAAACTTGTTTTGTCTTGCAAAATCAGGGTTTTGAATATTTAGCTTGCTATTTAAGATTCAAAGAAAGGAATTCTTAATCTTTATATAATAGATAACTTACACATTTGAAAGTTGAAGTAGTATTGTAAACTTTTCTTTACGAATGGTTTCTACCAAATTGTATACAGTATCTGTTCTAATTACATGCGTTGTGCTTGTTCCAAAAGTCTGCCATGCATATGGATATAGGTGATAAGAAAACATAAAAATGTCTCAGTAGTTTGAATAATTGCAGAGTTAAAAATAAGGCAGATGCAATAATAAAGATGATATAATGAAATATATTCTCATGCAGTGTAATCTGTTTAATTTGAGGAATAAATTCACAGGTGTTGACCGGCACTCATATCAGTAGAGAACAGGAGTAGAGGTCTGAAAATCCAGGCTCCTACAAAATGATCTTAGCTAACAGAATACTTAAACTCTTAGGCAGCTGTAATGTTTGAAAAAGACTAAGATGCAAAGACAGCTTATCTCAGTCTTCAGAAAGAGGCTGTCAAAATTGTTTGGCCATATTGTGAGAAAAAAGAAAACAAAATTAAACATTTTGGGACAGCTGTAAACATTTATAGAAAGAGAGATAGAGGAAGACAATGGGAAAGTACTCTTGACAGTCTTTTATTTTGCCATGGAAAGGTGTCTGCACTAAAAAAATGATACATGCTTTTAGAGATTGCTAGTTTGGAAGAAGCATGGCTGCCCACAAAGATTAACCCAGCACTTGCAAAATAGCTCAAAACAATAATGTAAAGAGTAGATCCCAAAAGACATGTGAATGAAAACTGTTATTTGAATTCAGTTCACCATAACAAATTATTACTTCAGAAGGTTACATTTTATAAGAATATATCTCTTTATATTTTAAAATATTTGTCAACTTGTTTTGGATATTGTGAATAGTAGTAAAGTTGCAGGTGAGCTATGGTAGTGTAGTGGCTAGACTCGCTTGCCAGCCTTATGATAGAACCTACTTGTGGCTGATTTTTTTTGTGGTTTTGTTTGACCTTGGCTTTCAGGTTGACCCAGCCTAAAAATGGGTACTGTCCAATGTACTGGGAAGTAAAGGCAGCATGATTTTAACCACATCACTCCCAAGTGCTGACTGGTCTATTAAAAAAAAAAAGAGTTTAGCTTAAAAACCCCTTTCACCATGTGAATTTAAAGAGTGCTTTAAAGTAGAGTTACATAGGTTTTTAAAACAAAGTAAATTTACAGAGGTTTTTAAAACAAAGTAAAGTTACAAAGGTTTTTAAAACAAAGTAAAGTTACAGAGGTTTTTAAAACAAAGTTACAAAGGTTTTTAAAACAGTTACAGAGGTTTTTAAAACTAAGTTACAAAGGTTTTTAAAACAAAGTTACAAAGGTTTTTAAAACAAAGCAAAGTTAAGTTAGAGATTTTTAAAAGATTCTTTATATAGCTGATCAGCAGCTCCTTATCCTTTCATTTTATTTTACATGTGATGAGCGCAGAAGTTTGACACGAGTGTTTGACATCATATCACCTGTCACCCCTTTTTTTTTTTTTAGTACCACACAGCCAATCCTTGTCTTGCTGCATTCAAACCTCTCTTCAAATATGCTTTATATTGTTTTTATTTGTTGGGCAGCAATGTCCCCAGGGAGTAGAAATAAACGCAGACCAAAAATACACGGAGGAAGGAGCTAGAGAGTGAGGTTAAAAATATGGGGAGGACGTATCACTGTATATGCTAGCAAAAGATAAGATGATTAGTTTCCATGGCATGATGCTGCGCTTCACCTCTCTTGAAACATTGTGTCTGTAAACCTGTCTGTGGGCTGGCCCCTTTACTTCCCAGGACTTTACCTGGAACCCATTTAAGGCTGAGTCGACCTGGAAGCCAAGATTGATTGATAAATGGCAGAAAAGAGCTAACCAGCTACTCCTCATTATGTCATGTCATGTTTGACGTGATTTTTTTTACATTGTGTCACCAGTCAGCTTATAATTACTGCACAGCCGATCATTGTCTTGCTGCCTTCATAACTCTCTTCAGACATTGTATGTAGCTGTATAAACCTCAGCCATTCACAGGCTATATGTTAGTTATATGTACTATCGTATTTGCTGGGCAGCAGTGTACCCAGGACATGAATCACCTTAGTTACACACTCAAGTATCCGTCACATGGTAATGTTTCTGGATGTTTTTCAATTTGCCAGATATTCTTTTAGTAGCTGGTACCTAGAGCACATAATATTTGTGCATGCCTGAGTGTGGCACTTTGCCTTTGCAAGACCTAATGCATGCGAGTTTGTCACTTAATTTTGCTTGTGCTGGAATAGAAAATGCTTGCAGTTTTTTTTTTTTAAGCAAGCAGAAGATTTAAAATGGTTTTCACTTTTTCAGTTTCTCTGATCAGATTAATACTGCATAAAAGAAATATTGCTTTACTTTCCAGGACATTGCCTGGTACCTGTTTTAGAATAGGCCAACCTGGCAGCCAATCTCTATTTTTGAAGAAAAAAAATCAGACTGGAAATTTAAACCCAAGACCTTCAGTCCTGCAGGAGAATGTCTAGCCACTGGAATATTTCGGTTCTTGGGAATATCTATTTAATGCTTCACTAGCTTCATGTGTATTGATTACTCCTTTTATATGTCTGTACATGCGTCCAGTACACTTAGCTAAGTTGGTTAAACTAGCTGCGAGGCAACCGGGTGACAAACTTCTTGTGGTCGGAGTTCACGTTCTGGGGTAGGCAAAAAAGCCACATCTTTCCCATATTTACAGTATCTGTCATGGAAGCAAGGCCGAAGGATTATGATATCCATAGTACCGAGCCAAAGGGTTTTACAACTCATGGTTTCTGGAGCAACAACAATAAAAAAAAAATCTGTATTTTCAATTGAAAGAAAAAATGTACACAAATAAATTGTTACAAAATTATTAGTGACCTATGTAAAATAGTTGTTTTTTAAAGATTCATTTAATACTGCAGCAAAGCTATATTTGAATTGATGCAAGTGTTGCATAACAACTAGTGTGCTTACCTGGAGAGACAGTGGGCTGATTGATAGGATCTTGGGTGGGGGGGGGGGGGGGGGGGGAGGGGGGGGGGGAGGAAATCATAATGGCTCTAGGGTTGACCCAGCCTTATACAGAATATGTACCAGGTAATTTCAGTAATTGTCTTAGAAGAGAAGGTGATTGAGAACAGAACTGGCCACTCCACCTCATATGTCATGGTCGAGAATATGGGGTGCAGTATGCAATCCAGTGGCAGTGCCTGCTATAGGACTACTTTTTTTTTCTTTCAATTTTGTAAGCTGCCAAAACTAAATTTGCATGTTAAATCGTAAATTGTTGTTTATTCCTCTTTTGTGACTGCTTGCTTGGGTATGTTGTTATTTTCCTCAAGAGTTTTGTACATTTCTCAAATTGTCTGTGACACAGTAAAATAAACGTAATTTTTAAAAAATCCAAACATTGTTTATAGTAGATTTCACATAAAATATAATGAGACAACTTTGGGGACCAAATGGCTTTTTGAAAACCATCACCAAAATCACAGTTTTCCCATACAATCATTGTTAAAGGTCACAGGTTTCATTATACGGGTAACCTGATACATGTTTTTAGACCTGATTTTTCCATTTAATGCGTCACTGCATCTATGTTTATTGATTATTTCCATTATATATCTATATACATTTAGAAGACATTTAAAAAAATATAAATACGTATCAAATATTTATAAGTGACCAAAGTACAAACATTTTTTTAAAGGATTTTTGGGGGGAATTTTTATGGGTTCATGACCCATTTTTTAATGTTTTTAAAGTGAAAGGATTAATGATGCAAAATTATTGTGGTGTTTTAAGCAAATATTAATGGAGATTCCTTGTCAGTGGATTTAGCTTGTAGGCATATGCTGCATCTGGTAATATTTCTGAAGGTGATGTTAAGTACAGTTCCTAAATTTTGGGTGCAAGTTTTACTCATCAGATTAAAAAAAAAATGGCTGTTTCAGTTTAAGAGCAAGTCTTATTTATCAAAAAATACCCTGTGATTAGTGAGCTTGTGGTTGCCTAGGGGCTAGACACTCACCAGAGTACCGAACATCATACAGGGAAATGATGTTGTATCATATTGGCAAAGATGACTTTCACAGATAAATATGCTCATCCTATTGTGAGGTTGGATTGTTGCCAGAGCTGCACTAGCTAATCAAACAGTCCATGGGCTGTGTTGGTCTAATTTAAGGATAAAATGTATCATATTACATTTAGGACATATAAACTGGTACAGAATAAATTAAACTGATTTTATTGTCTAATATTTTTGTAATATACAACGGTAGGTAGTAAGATTATTTTTAAACAATGGTAAGCATTAATCAGATATTCTTTTGTATAATAAAAAAAAAAGCGCCAAGAATGTCGCAGTTAAATTTAAAAAAAAGAAAAAGAAAATGTAGACATCTTGAAAGAAAACCAGTTGCCCAGAAAATAGATTACTGGTGTCAGACATCCAGCATTCTTGAAATATGTCATGACAGCAAAAATAAGTTGGCGAGGAGGAGAGATTAGAAGACTTGATACCAAACTTGAGAAAATATGATACCAAACTTGATATTTTTGCTCAGAGAAGCATCCGTAATTGTAATCTACACTGAATCAGGAAAAGTTAACATACATAACAGTTAACATCAAGTACCAGATCCTAACTGAATACTGTATTATACTTGTCAGCTATGGTTTACATCAGGGATGTTCAAATGGTGGCCTGCAGGCATGCGAATCATTTCCCCTTGTATTGTAATAATGATCTTTCTGTGCTGTGGCTCGGGTTTCTGGCCCTTGACAATCCCCATTATTAAAATTTTGGCCCCTGAGTAAACTTAGTTGAAGAACCCTGGTTTACATGCATTGTTTCAGACAGTTTTAATGCTTGTAAATGTTTCACAAAGAAAAGGCATTGAATGTATCAGCGCATGAATGTGTGTGAACTGGTTGCAAGGTAAAAACCATGCCTACCTCAGGTACTACATTTGACAAGCTTTAACTCTTTCAGTTCCAAGAAATGCATCACACGCTGATTAATATTTAATTTACCTGTCCTCTGGTATCAAAAGAGTTAAGGAGACCTTGTGTGTTTCTCAGCTGCCTTCCCCTGTGATTGATCTCTTGCATGCCTAACCTTTGTTTCAGAGTGAAGATGGTCGAACTGCTCTCCACATGACGGCCCTGCATGGTAGATTTACACGTGCACAGAGCTTGATTGAGCATGGTGAGATACCTCTTTTTTGTTGTTCATGATTGCAGTTTTGTGAAGCTGACTAATTTCTCTTCTCTTTTTGATTGAAATGTTTTCCTATTCTGTTATCTAGAACTGTGAATTTAGAGTTGCTTAACTACCTGTTTTGTATTGAAATGTTTAAGTGACCTTTTTAAGATGAGTTATTCAACCCTTTTGTCCAAAGAGCTGGAAAACCAGCATTTCCAAATGTCACTTTTCTGACTTGTCTGTATCAACTTATTTATGAGATGTATAGTTAATGATATTTTCTGAAATATGTGCCTGTGCAAATGATTAGGAAGTCTGGATATGAAAACATTAAAAAGGACTTTTCCTGGAATTCATACAATTTTTTTTCTTTTTTTTTTTTAGTGTTATGAGGCGAAAGGGTTAAACTGTTTATTATTGAGTTATTTGAATACCTTGTTTAATTGAATGTCTAAACTGTCCATTTAATTGTGAGTTTAAACTACTTATTCAATATAGAGCCATTTAAACAGTTTATAAATGAGCTTATTTAGACTGTTTTTTTTTTTAGCTGTTCAAATTATCTGTTTATTATTGTAGACATCTAAACTCCCTGTTTATCATTAAATGTTTATTTCTAGTTTTTTAAGTTAATGAAATTTATTAATGGGGAGCTAACACTGTATTTTTTACTAGATTTCCCTGTGGGTTCCAGGTCTCCATTTTGGGTTAAAAGGATAGACCCACTGCCGTCCCCCCTCTCCCCCCAAAAAGCATATATTAAACGTTAACTTATTAAGGGTTTTCCTTTCTCAGTCGGAGCCTAAGAGGTAAGGACCCAACAGTCTGCATCCACATAAGCCAGATCTTTAAAAAGTTGAAACAAGACCAAAGTCCAGAGGTGGACAAACAACCAGAACTTACCGCAGGAGTTTACTGCCAGCAAACACTAAGAAGAAGAAGAAGAAGAAGAATTACTAGATTATGTAAACACATAGCTTTACTTCTTGGCTGTTATAAAACTAGGTAAATTCATGTGTGTGATATTTAAACTAGTGATATTTATTACTAGACATTTGTACCTTTGCGTTGTTTAAAGTAGTTGCATTTATTTGTTTTCTTTTTTGTTCTTCTCCTCCTTTTTCCCTTCTTCTTTACTTCTCCTATTACCGCTTCGGGCATCGGAAAAAGATATAAGATTCTGCTTCTTGCTCTTCTGAGTGCCTTGACCTGTGAAACAATGTACTGTTGTAGAGTTTCTTTGATGTTATCTTCCCATTTTTCTTGGTCTACCTCATGCTATACATACCTCTCTTCTTTTAGTTCTCTTAGTGGGAATACCAATTTATTTGCTGCTTTTGTGTTTTTTGTATTGATTATGTGCAAACTTTTTCTAACTTCATTCCTGATTTGATCTCTCCTGGTCATTCCTGCAGTCTTTCTCAGACATCTCATTTCTATTTTTAGTTATTTCTTTTCTGCTTTGTTGTGAATAACCATGTCTGGCACTGGTATCATAGCGCAGGAATGAATTTGTAGGATGTTAAAACAAGCAGTATTTGTTAAAGAAGGTCTATTTGTAAGATGTGTGATATAGCAGTATTTAGTACTGGATTATGTAAACTTGATAACATTACTTCTCTGGTGTTTAAGCTAGTTATAAGTTTTTGTAGCATGTTTAAATCTAACATTATTTATTACTGGCTTATTTAAACTATATAACTTTATTTCTGTTTAAGCTAGTTGTATGTATTTGTAAGATGTTTAAATTAGCAGTATTTATAACTGGTTTATTTAAACTGCATAACTTTACTTCTGTTTAAGCTAGTTAAATGTATTTGTAGGATGTTTAAACTAGCAATATTTGTTACTGAATTATGTTAACTATTTAACTTTACTTCTTGGATTGTTTAAGCCAGTTATGTATTTGTAGATAATCCAGTTGTGTATTTGTAGAATGTTTAAACTAAGTTAAGTTAAGTAGATTATTTAAAGTAGCCAATATTTTCTGAATGTCAGATATTATTGAAATGCTATGTGTAACAATTTATGTTGTGTGGCAGTGTGTCTTCACTGTGAATAAACAAAATAGGAAGATATTAGTGGCAGTGCAATTATGGTTTCTGAGACAAGATTAGAATACCTTGCCAGTGAGTGTTCTCTGGAAGATAGAGATTGCCGGGGTGGAAGATAGAGATCGCCGGGGTGGAAGATAGAGATCGCGGGGCTGACAGAGATCAATTTCATTTGTATGCCATTGCATGCAGGTATGCAAGTAAATAAGCAGGCTGATAGTCTTGCAGGTACGGCTTGACTGAAATTTGTATAGTGCCATGCCAATTTAGGATGCGTTGATCTAAGAGCCAAGGTCATTAAGGGGTCACTACACGGCATTTTTCCCAATTTATGACAAAAATATCACTTTTTCAATGTGTTCTTTTTTGTAAAGTTCGGCATTCGTACAATGGATGACCAAAAAAATTTATGTCATTTGTAAACAATTTAGCATTGAAAAGTTAATACTAATGACACCACCTCGTGCACTTTTTTAAAATAAAAAAAAGTTTAAAAGTCAGTTTTCTCAAATCTTTATATTTCAGTTTGCTGTGTGTGTGTGAAATCCTAAAATCTAAGCTAATATGAAGAGTAGAATCATCAAATTTTGTATGCATACTCCATAAACAATATTATAGGGATTGGTTTATCTAAAAGTAGATTTTATAAAGTTTTTGTTTCTAAAATGTGATTATTGTCTAATAATGCTAGATTTTTTTTTGACTTTTTCAATAAACCTACATTTTAAAATTCTACGAAAAATATTTAAAAACATGTTTAAAGTAAATAAACTAGACCAGTACCTGTAAATAGGACAAAAAGTCATGAATCCATCATCTATTGTTGAATACCTATGTTTGCTTTTACAATTTAAGGATTCTATGTACATATTGTTTTTTTCACAAGATGACGGCTATTGCCATGACAGTTATGATTTTTTTAACACTTAAAGTATACAAACGTAATAAAATGTATCCCTACAAATGGCCATTATAAAATAACTGCTCTAAGTCTGTAAATAAAAAAATTAAAATTTTTTGTGAAGTGACCCCTTAAAAGAACTTGCTTACCCATTTTAGAATTAGTTGATCTTAGAGAGGTCAGAAAAAAAAAAAATAATCTGCATACCCATTTTAGGATGGGTTGACCTAAGAGCCAGGTTCATTTCACCCAAAACAAAATTTGCTTACCCATTTTTGGATGGGGTGACCAAAGAGCCAAGATCATTACCCCCCCCCCCCCCCCCCAATCTTTTCGGGTTATGGATTCAGACCCATTATCTTCAGCCTCACAGGTTTATCCTGTGGGTTTCAGAACTCCATTGGGGTTGAAAAAAAAATGGGAGGAGGTGGGGGGGGGGAATGAAGAATTGAGCCGCTGCACCCCTAACAAACATGTCGTAAAAAGCTGTTCCTTCAGAGTCGGAGTGCATCTGCTTGAGAAGCGAGAAACCAACCGTCTGCATACAAGTAAACCAGATCTCTAAAACTGATGTGGACATAAAACTCAAGTTCCATAACAAGACTGAAGGAAACATTAAGAAGAAGAGGAGAAGATGTCATAGTCACAAATATCGGATCATGTCGCCTCCCTCATGTCTGACATGAATACATAACTATTTTGCACACTAAATGTTACAATAAAAAATGAATATGAGTATTAAAACCCAAATAATCTGTTATGTTACTTTCTAAGTTATTTCTGACTTGTGTTAATAACAAGTGTTACAGGCAACTCTTAGTGTTCATAACAGTACTGCACTTTAAGTGTTATAGGCAACTCTTAGTGTCATTAACAGTTCTGCACTTTAAGTGTTACAAGCAACTCCTAATGTTCATAACAGCTCTGCACTTTAAGTGTTACAGGCAACTCTTAGTGTTCATAACAGTTCTGCACTTTAAGTGTTACAAGCAAACTTGAAATGGAATAGAAGCTGAAAAATTTGTTTGTTATTTGACTTCCTAATATTGTTTCTGCCTTGTGTACCTAACTGTTCTGCACTGCAGGATGTCTGGTGAATGCATGTGATCGTCTGGGAAACACTGCACTACATGTAGCAGCCAGATATGGCCACGAGCTTCTCATTAACACACTACTGGATCATGGTGCCAACTCTATACAGTAAGCAAGTGTGACAAGTTTGTTCATTCATTTAGTGATATTTTAATGGCTCGGCTCACCTTCTAAAAGTACTGGGGAGTATGAGAATTGCCCTGATGGTCTGAAATAGCAGTATTTGTTGTAGTTCTTTTTGTAGGATGTGTGATATAGCAGTATTTAGTACTGGATTATGTAAACTTGATAACATTAGTTCTCTGGTGTTTAAGCTAGTTATAAGTTTTTGTAGAATGTTTGAATCTAACAGTATTTATTACTGGCTTATTTAAACAATATAACTTTACTTCTGTTTAAGCTAGTTGTATGTATTTGCAAGATGTTTAAACTAGCAGTATTTATAACTGGATTAAGTAAACTGCATAACTTTACTTCTGTTTAAGCTAGTTAAATCTATTTGTAGGATGTATGAACTAGCAATATTTGTTACTGAATTATGTAAACCATTTAACCGAGCTAATTAAAAAAAAAAATGTAAGTATAGATCCCTTTTAACGCTTTTGGCGCATCGGGCATATGAGAGGAGCACCCCATATTTTTACAGACCAATCGGCACTAATTGGGTAATGTGGTCAGCATTACACCGGCCGTCTTTACTTCCTTAGGACATCCATCCTGGTACCCATTTTAGATTGTCGACCTGTAATGCCCGATACCATGATAAAAATCCATGCAGCCAGCAGTGGGTTTCAATCACAGTACGTTGGAATTACACGTTGGACTCCAAACGCCTAAGCCATGGACCCCGCTCAGTGGAGCTAATACAGAAAAATAAATAACGGTTGAAAAAATGGCTAGGAATCTCAATAAGGAAAAGGAAAGTTGCACACAGATACATTGCAATAGTTTTTACCAGTGCATTAGAAAAATTTGTTTGCATAAAAATAAATAACACTATAACATGGAAAGGGAGTCGCCGTGGCATAGCGGCTAGACACTTGCCTGCGGATTGGAAGGTCGTGGGTTTGCTCCCTGACAGGGGTTAGTCTTTTAAAAAAAAAAATGACTTTAGCTTCCAGGTCTGACCCAGCCTTGAGTGGGTACCAGGGCCAGTCCTGGGAAGTAAAGGCGGCCGGCATGATGCTGACCACAGCACCTGTCTTATGCCGTAGGTCTGTAAAATATAGGTCTAGCCCTATAAAGTGTGGAAAAGGGTCCTTTACTTTACTTTTGTAGCATGGATGGGTAATCCAAACAGTGAAAGAAACAAATGCAAAAGATACAGATAAAATAAAATAGAAAGTTTAAATATAAGCAAGGGAAAAAACCCCAATAATTCCTTGGATTTCCTTTTGAGCCAGAGTTCTTTGTATGAGAGGCAAGGAACTAACAATCTGCATACAAATTAGCCAGATCTGTAAGGGATGTGCTCCCAGACCTCATGTTCTGGAACAGGACTATAGTCCAGAAATGAACAAATAACCAAAACTTTCTGCCGGAGTTTAAAACACATAGAAGAAGAAGAAGACGATTCCTTTGATAGTCACCTTGTTTATAGCTCAGACATTCACAGCCCAGCAGAGATGAGTGTTCAGCATTCATTATCTAACATAGACGCAGCTTATGTTAATATTGTCCAGCAAGAATTCACAGACTTCTTACTGTTATATTGTTATGGCGGTGTTTAATTGTTTTAAGACCATTCTTATGGCTTTTATACAGTGTTACAGAGTTTCTCAATGAAAGAGATTTGGTCATCAGCACTTAGTTTTCCCAAAGATGCTGGGAAGGCTAACCCGAGCAACAGCTGTCTGGTGAAGTTAGACGTGTCGGCCGAAAGGCGCATGTTGTAAATGGGCACAGCATATTAACTTGGTCGGAGGAATACAGAAGAAGAAAAAGATATTCCCAAAGACAGCAAAAGGATGCACACACCCATTGCAGCAACTTCACTGTGGAGACAGCACATAAATAAAAAAAATATACATTTATTTATTATTTGGTCTTTTTGCATCTCAGGAGAGGTTACTTAGGTATGCTACCAATCCATGTGGCTGCTCTAAATGGTTTCGTAGAGTGTGTGAACAAACTGAGGTCTTCTATGCCTGCCTTTGACATCAACATCACTGATGACGGTGGCAGAACTTGTCTTCATGGAGCAGCATGTAGTGGGTAAGACTTTGCACCTTATTTCTTCTTCTTTTTTTTACCGGACCTGAGGCCCTGAACCTAACTGCTCCTTATACCTGAGCTCCTGGGCAACAACACACAAAAAAAGCAGCATGATATACAAAAATATTAGTTACATGCAAACAAGTGGTTAGAAGATGAAACTTGGAGACATTGTAGAAAATAGGTTTACCTTTTATCTAGCGCCAATATTCTACCTTTGTGTGCCATTCCACCCAGCAAGATCGGCCTTGTTTCACAAAGTGAGCACCATATGTTGCTGTTTAAGGGACACGCCCCCTTCTCTTACTATCGATCTAGTTTTAAACTTATAATTTTCAAGATTCTTCTCATCACTCGAGCTCACACTGACTGTGTCACTACAACTAGGAACGTATTCTTCATGAAATTTTTACTCCTCTGAGTCTGAATCAACCAAAGTATCGATCACCTTTTGGACTGTGAAAAGCCTAGACCTACTTCACTTTCCTGTCGAAGTGCCTGGTTCATCAGCCGCTCATTTCAGTGTGAATTTTCATAATTTTTTCATGTTAAACCACACAAAGTAAATCCAAACATGTGGGCAGCAATTCGCAATGACTAACCATGACGTCTGACCACAACTGGCTAGTTATTTTTAGTTTGCGATGCATTGTTTCACATAGTACGCAAGGTACCAACAATGAGGGACACCGGTTTAGCTGCAGATTAGGAAATTACCATGGTAGCGGGACATCGGTCTGGTAGAGTTAAACTGTATTCCACCCCACAGTGATACACATGAATCAGAGGGGATCATTATTCTGGTGTTTACCTCAATCTCCAAAGGTACATAATATGAATTCTGTGCAGGACGTCTTTCATAGGAACCCTGTAGTGTCATTTTGCACACCTTCCCGGTATCTGATTAATTAATTTAATCCTTTGACCACAAGAAAAAGCTAATCCGGTATTGTCATCTGTTACAGATCCCTGTAAATGCTGCTAAACTGGCGTTACTGCATTGGCAGTCCCAAACAAGCTTAGTTAATGGTGTTGGTTGTGTTTGCACCTCTGCAGTGTTTAGTAGAGCCAGATGTCATCATATTTATTCAAACAACATGGGTTCACAAAAAAAAATCTTTGCTCACAGGTTGACCCATCCTTAAATGAGTACCAGATAAAGTCCTTGGAAGTAAAGACAGCTAGCACCCACCAAGTGCTGGTGGTTTATAAATTATAGGTCCAGCCCTATATGCCCAATAACCCAAAGGGAGTAAAAAAGGGTCTTTTACTTCACTTAGAATTGTGAAGCTGGCTTTCTGCTTCTCATCTGGATTGATACTTTTTCATGATATCATGATATTTTTTACCCATGATTTTCTCTTCTGCTCTCATCACCCAGGAAAGTGGAGTGTGTGGAATATCTTTTGAATGAAGGAGGAAATCTGACTCTGCAAGATATTGATGGCAGGTATGGACATCGGAAATGTGTATTGTACTGGGGGGGGGGGGGGGGTGGTGTAGAAATAGAGTTGATATTTTACTAGTAAATAAATAGTCTTTGTTGCACTGGTTTTATCCAGTGGGATATTCGCATCATCATCATCATCGGCTGAGCGCCTGTAGTATAAAAAGTGCCCTTTTTGTGCCATTGTGGCTGCAGGCATATGATGACCAACGCATATTTTTATAGACCAAGTGGCACTAGATGGGAGATGTGGTCAGCATCACGTTCAACTGTCTTTACTATCCATGACATTGCCTGATACCCATTTTCTTTTTCTTCTTTGCGTCTACCGGCTGTAAAAGTAGGCGGAAATTCCTGTTGTTCGTCCACTTCTGGACTTGTTCTAGAACTGAGTTTTGCGTGCACATCTGTTTGACAGATCTGGCTTATTTATATGCAGACTGTTTGTTCCTGCCTCTCAGGCAGATGCATTCCGGCTTTACGGGAAACACCCCTAATTAGTCACTTTTTAGGACATGCTTTTTTGGGGTGGAGGAAGGGGGGGGGGGGAGAATGAGTCAATAATTGCTTTACCAAGTACTAACAGTTAACAGTTGTAATATTATGCTTTGATTTTGTCTTATTAAAGTGTTTATAAACAAATATTGGATGTTTTTTTATATCAAAATATTTTGATTGCATTGTAGAAAAAAAGAAAAGAAGGATTTTTGTGCTTCAAACTATTATGTATGTGATGTTAACCCCATATTATTGCATTTATTATGTGTTGGGGTCAGTATCATGCTGGTCACTAATACTTCCCAGAAAATTTCCTGGTACCAATTTTAGGCTTGGTTGACCTGGGATCCCAGGTTAATGAGAAATCTGCATCAGACAGGATTCACTGTGCGGACAGGCAAGTGTGCTGCCCACTGCTCTACTGCATTTCTTCTCCCCCTCTCTCTCAGAACATATGATACCCTGTTTAAAACTGTAATGAGACATGGATGGAAAGCAGTGGAGAGGTTAGAAGATTTGGTATCATAGCTTGCAGGAGTATCTGTGTCAGAATAAATGGACATACTTTGTGTAGGTTATAGGGTCCTGTGTCGAGGGAGAAAAAAAAAACGAATATACCCAATGCCATTTAACTTCTTAAAGTCCATGCCGTGTGGCGTTGGTAGTTGTATCTGTTCACAACCTTACTGCTCGTGTTACTCAGTCAACTCTGAAACAGTTGATCCTCCATGCCATGATGTCAAACTGTCCAGCATCTTTTCTCTCTGTCACCCTCTGCCTCACCTCCCTTCTAGCTTTCCTACTGTCACGATGTACTAACAGGCATGACATAAAAGATGTATAGTTAGGGATTTCCGAAATCAGAGTTGTTGGACCGAAAGGCGCAGATTTTGCAGCCCAGCTGAAAATCATGTACAGAGTACCTGCCGCCCTTTAAAAGGCAAACAGTGAAGAAGAGTCTGTTTTAATAATTATGTTTGCCTTGTGGGTTTTGTGGCCCCATTGTGGGGGAATAAAGAATAGACCCATTGCCCCCTCCTCCCCTACCCAACAAACATGTCATCATACAAATAAGCCAGATCTGCCTGCAAAATGGATGTTCGCGCAAACTCAAGTTTTGGAACAAGACTGAAGTCCAGAAGTGGACAAAAACCAAAACTTAACATCAGCTTACAGCCAGTGAATGCAAAGAAGAAGAAGAATTATGTTATTAATTAGGAAGAAGAGAAATCAAAATGTTCTTATAAAGAAGATGGAAAAAGAATAAATGCAAGGACAGAAGCTTACAGACGGACATGATGACCAGAGCTACACCATAAAAAGAAGAAATGCACAGAATAATAATATCACTAAATTTTACCATCTCATTATTTTCCCCAGAACACCACTTCATTATGCAGCAGCCCATGGCCACTATCAGATTGTCCTGGTTTTGCTGACTGCAGGCAGTAACATCAATATCACAGACAGTCGAGGCTGCACTCCGCTGCATTATGCAGCTGCCACAGATTCAGATGCCAAGTAATGTTTTGATTTACATCCTTTCAATATTGTATATTGTAGTTTGAGCTTAGTACATCCTTTCTTCTTCTTTTGTCATCTTACATACCAGGTTGTATAGCATCAGTTCGTGTGGCAAGTCCTTTCAATATTTGTATATGCCACACCATTTATCCCTTCTCTTTCTCGATCTTCCTCTCACCCTCCTTGATGTTCTGCTGTCCAGTTTGGCCTGGCGACACATTAATTGTAGGCACATACATTTGAGCTTGTAAACAGGCACAACACATTGACATCACTCAGGTTAATGATGGTGAAGAAGTGTACAACTTCAAAAGGCTCAAATTAATTGTCATCATGTGCCTTGTCAGATGGCGAGTGTTTTCATATCTCTCTTCAGACCTCAGTCCCTGATGTTCTGGATCAATTCTTTTCACGAAATTCCATGATACAATGATCGAACTAGTGAAATGGTTAGGCTACTTGTCTCCTGCTCTAAAGGTCACGGGTGCGTTTCAAGGCTGTGTCATTCGGTTCACAAGTGTAAGTATTATAGAGAGTCTTGTGCAACGTTGCTGGAGCTATGATGTCCACACTTTGTGCAGGACTCTGGGTAGGCAGCTAGCTGTGAACAGAGACCTTATATGGCATAAAACCAGTGCAGTGAATTCGACCCTCTCAACTTTAACTTTAAGATCTGCGTGATATCTTTTTTTTTTTTAAAAATGCTTTCATCTTTAGAATGGAATCCCTTTTTTTTTATTTTTTGGTGTGATTCTAATATTTATAACTATTTGGACGAAAAAGAGGAGAAATACTGACATCTTGAAAGATCTGAACATCAAGAAGATTGGCTTATAAACAGCATCCTGTCTCGGAAGCTGAAATATTTTGGTCACATCAAGCTCCACGACGGATTGGAAAAAAATAATAGCTGAAGGCATGGTACCAGGAAGGAGGGGCAGGAGCCAACCAACTCGAAGATGGGCACAGGATATAAGTGACTCCTTGACTATGAAAGTGCATGAGGCGGGAGAGCTGGTGAGAGACCGAGTTTCTTTCAGGCAGACCGTGATGAGAGCGACATTCTGCAAAGGACCTGCTACATGATGATGATATTTATAAAGTATTGTAAGTTCTTCACTATGACAATTAAAATGTATTGGGTTCTGTGGCAGTACGTCCAAAATGATGCGTCAACAGGTCTTAGCTAATTGGAAATGACTCTCTTACATATTTATTGCGGCAGGCAGAGCATATGTCTGTTATGCTATGAATAGTATTTATTCAGTTAATGAGTCGAAACTTATTATTTTTCGTCTTATTTTATGATCACATTTTGATAGGCGACATGTCGTCTTGTTATTATCTATACAAATAATAAAACACACCTGAAACTTAGTAAAACAGTTTAAATGATTTTTATTTTATTTTGTCTTAACAAGGGTGGTAGAGTTGCTGCTGCATCATGAGGCCAGACCAGGTATACGTGATGATGATGGCTACAATGCTGTTCACTATGCAGCTCTCAAGGGCCACAAGCTTTCATTAGAAATGGTGATTACAAATTTAAAACAAAACTGAAACTGTAATTTTGTGTACTTGTTATGTCATATTATGCCAGGTTTTTCCCCCAACAGCTATTTCAATATCTTTTTAAGAGGTGTACGGGAATTGTTACTTGAACTATGGAGTTTATGCTTTAACCCTGTCATGATGAAAATCTGTAAAACTGACACTTCTGGTTAGGGCCTTTTTCCCTTAAATGTCACTTTTCCGAACTATCTATAATGACCTAATTACGAGAGTTAGAGTTATGCTATTGGCTGTGTTAACCCCTGCAAAATGTTTATAAGGTCTGGATGTGAATATATTAACTAAAAATAACATCAAGGGGTTTTTCTTCAAAACACTTGGTGTTTTACAAAGCTGAGTTGACGTCAAATTTCCAGGTAAACCTCAGGGGTAGAGGTAACGGGGTAACAGAGTCATTGAATACATATATTTTTTAGCCTCTGGGAATGTATTCCATTTAATTTTTCACTTTGTTCATTTTTATTGATTACTCCTTTTATATATCTGAGAAGTAAAGGCGGCTGAAGTGATAGGGAACACACCGTCCATCAAGGGCTGGTTGATCTATAAATCATTAATTTCCTGATAAATCATTATATTCCTGATCATCAGTGACCGGGTCGCTCTTTGGCTGGCCGGCAGATGACTTTGTCGCGGTTAGGACAATATTTATGTCTGAATCCTTTGATCACATCAACACTGCAGGAGTCCTTTTCAGGGCTCTTGGTGGCGTGCAGTGCTAGCATTTTATTTGGGTTTTGGGTAAGAGTTGTAGACACGTTCAGTCATCTTTTCATGCAGTACTAGGTCACATTCTTCACCCTTTTTTTTTCTATGCCTGGGATTGCTATTGTGACTGTATAGTTGGGCTGTAGCTCTATGCTGTATGCCTGAATCAATTCCCACGTTGAATGGTCTTTAGAAAGGATGTCACTGTTTTTGGCATAGTAGTTTTGATGAATGGTGGAAGTTTTGTCTTTTTAGTCAGTTAAGCTGTTTACTGTTCTGTGCATGGGGTTGTTATTAATGCGTTTAGATTTGTCTGTTAGGGTAAGCACCTTTTCTCCCCTTCACTGGCTCCAGCTCTGGAGGCCTGAAGTGGCCTCCAGCTCATGGATTGGTGTGCTTCTCATACCTCTATTGAAGATTCTGAGACCAATGTTCTGTATTTTGTCCATTTTATATAGATTTGATTTGGTGCAGTGGAGTATGCTCCCATGCCATACTCCAGTTTTGGTCGTACATATCCTATGTATACTTGTCATACAGTGTTGGCATCTGCACCCCATCTTGTTCCAGTAAGTTCCTTCATAAGTCTGAGCCACAGGGTACTTTTCTTTGGGTGTCTTCAATGTGGGGGCCCCAGGTTAGTCTTTTGTCAAATTTCACTCCCAAATATGTGGGGTTTTCCTGTTTTGGAAGGATGTTGCCTTCTAGGTACAGATCAACTTGTTCTAGTTTTGTGGAAAGAGAGAAGAGAGTTGAGACGGTTTTGGTCTGGTTTATTGTGACTTCACAAGAGTCTGTCCATTTCTTAACTCTGTTTATAGCTTCCTGCATTCTTGTTTTACTTGTTCCTATATGTTCAGCTTGGGTCCATATCTGCATGTAGGGCCTTGTGAATGTGAGTTGGGAACTGTTTCGGGAGGACATTCAAGTTATACTATTATCAGGCTATACTATTGTCAGGTGTATTAAAAACAAAAAAACACATATCAGTCAGGGAGCCTTGATGGTGCATTAGATCATTCACCTACAAACACAACTGGACAAAGCAGAGGCCTGCAAAACCCACTGACCAATGCAACTATAAATATCAGTAATGTTCAGCATCTTTTGCACAAGGTGCAGCACACATTATACTGCTGTTGGATGATTCATTTAATATTTGTTTGCCATGTAATAGGCACTGAAATAGGAAACAGATGGATGGGGGAAAGAGGAAGCCTAAGAAAAACAAACGGACAAACAAAAAAACTTCATTTCCAAAGGGTTACAAATTGTGCATACAGGCTGGTCTTATAATTGGCCCTTTCAGGTACTCGGCTGGCTCTGCACAACTTGGTGGAATACTGATGCATGATAGGGTCGTCGTGGTTAGTGCTTTGTGGGAGAGCAAGTACAGTTCAGAGGAGCAGATGAATCACCACAGTCTGGTGAGATTGATGCAGGAGGGAGTGACGAGAGGTTCTGGCAGATGCTCGAGGCTCAGAGGAAAGCCAAGACGGACGTTTAATGAGAATGCTACTGGCACCATTGGTATCGGAACTCCTTGCTGGCTGCTGAAGATGGGGACGGAGCGCTTGTGGGGATGCCCCGAGTACTGTGATGTCGGTTCTTGAATCAAATCAAATCATATCTTTCATATGGCCATTGTGTTTTATATATCAAGCTTATTATGTTCATACATCAAAATTTACAGTATGTGAAATAGAAACCTTAAGACATGAATGTGTTGAGTGAGATTAGACCTGCTGGTCTGGATTGTGTACATGATTTCCAAAGGAATAATTACACAGGATAGAGCGGAATGAATGACCAGCCCGGGAGCTCTCTTGGACATATATTGGCATAACACATGATGATGATGATGATGATGTTTTACTAGGCAAATGTATAGGCACAACACCAAATCTTAAATAAATCTTATGACTGGTAAAATGAGCTTACTTTGCTATGATGTTGCTTAAGCTTTGTTCATTTTTTGAATATTTGCAGTTGTTAGATGCAGCACCTACTGACTTGCTGAGAAGTGCAGCACCCTACTCACCTGGTCACCTAGCTGTGAGTAGTAATAAAGAGGGATAGTAAAATGTTATACATATTTGGTTCATCATATGCTACACATATATGTATATGATGCTGTTGTAAATTCTGACAAGGAAAACATTTGGAAAATCTGGGTTGTACATACAATGTTTGTTTAGTTATTTTCATTAATCTGTAAATAATGGCTGTATTATCTGCTTTGTGCAGAGTGGTATGCTTTGCTTCAAAGGTCATGAGTGAGGAGCATTGTCTAGATATTTTTTCTGGGATATGCCGGTGTGTTAGGAAATTAACAGGCATACAGACTGGCTGGCTCTGCACAACCTGGTGGAATATTGATGCATGCTAAGGCAGACATGGTAAAGGCCTTGTGGGAGAACATGCATGTGTTTTTTGGGGGGGGGGGGACGGATCATCACAGTCTAGTGAGAGTGATACAGCAGGGAGTGACGAGGGTATCTGGCCAATACTCGACACTCAGAGGAAAGGTAAAATGGATGTATGATCAGAATGCTACTGGCACCATTGGTATTGGAACTCTGCGCTGGCTGCTCAAGATGGGATGGAGCGCTTGGGAATGTCCTGAGTGCTGTGATGTCAGTTCTTGAATCAGCTCAACTCATCTATATTAGTATGTCAGTTTTAAAGTTGAATGAGATCCCACTATGGTTTCCAGTTCCTTATTTAGGGGAAATAAAGAATAGACCCTACTTTCCCGTAACAAGTATGACATTGACATTGACCTCTGAATTATAATTTTGCTGAAAACTCGGTTCTTAATTAATATCTTACCCCAGATGATGTCACAGGACAGTCCAACATTTTAGAAGTGTGGTAAGACTTGGTTTCTCAGCTTTCTGATGCTTTTAACGACCCCAAAACATCTAGAACTGGCCCTAACCACAACCCACCTACGTCCCATGAGAGAATACAGCTTAGATCCCACGAGACAGTGCAGCCTAGGTCCCACCACTGAATGCAGCCTAACCCCCCTGAATCATTAGACTGTCCCGTGACCTGTGGATTTTCCCTTCTTGGGGTAGGTTATTAATAAAGCACTGAAAACCTTTATTAGCAGCAAAAATGTGGTTTATGAGAATGATGCAGAGAATGTTTTTGGACATGTTATGAGAAGGAATGGAGTTGAGAACTTGGGGACACTTGGCAAGTTTGATGGAAAGAGAGTTAAGGGAAAACAGAGAGATATATACTGGGGATAGCGTGGCCACATGAGCACAGATCTGAGCAGGGCGCACAATAGTAATGATAGTTTTATGCTATCTGTGTGTGCTGTATAGGTGTTTGTTAAGGCAGTCATTGTTCAGTCTGTTGTATAGTTTGGCCCAAAGCAAATGACAGCGCATGCGTTGTTAATTATACTGTATTCTGAAATGATCTAAAGCATATCTTTAATTTGACACTGCTGTGAGAGTTAATGTGCTGTTTTTTTTAAACCTATGACTTTTCCTTTTTTTTAATTTTAGAAAGAAGAGTACAGCATGATCAAAGTCTACAATTTATTTGCCACTATTTCGGTGGAGGGAGGGGGAGAAGGGTGTGTGCATGCCTCTGTGTGTGTGTGTTTTTAAAAAAAAAACAGAATATATTGTTATAATTGTTTTTATGTTTAAAAACTTCACAGAATGTGGAGCTTTGCACCTACCTCTTTTTATATGTGTGTGTTTGGTGCATACGTATGCGTGTAGGTATATATGTACGCATGTATGTGTGTATGCTTGTATGTATGTGTGCATATTTGGTATGTGTAAATCTAAATGTATGCATTTACCATCCATATTTTTGTGTATTTTACTTGATACTCATAGAATGTATATTGTTATATGAACATAGCGTTCTTTAAAGATAAAATACAATAGCAGCGTGAAAGATGAGAGTGTTTGAAAGGGGCTGCATTCCTAATTTGTTACCCTTTGAAAATAAAGTTTGTTTATGCCTGCAAGCCTTATTACATTGTTTAATTGATTTCAGGCTTACAATGGTCATACTGAAGCCTTAATGGTCCTTCTTGGGTACATGATGAATGTGGACATCAAGGATGCAAACGGTAAAATGTTTGCCATGTCTTTTATTCAGTAGGAATATTATGGTAGCCTTACATAGGAATGTCTCCCGTTTATTGAAATCTTAGCCAGATTCATAGTAAATGTAGTCCCATGTCAAATATTGCTTTTTGGATGTGAAGATCAGATCTAGGGGACTATTTGGTAGGGCGTAGGGGGATAGACCCACTGCCACTTAACAAGCATGTTATAGAAGTCAGCTTATGAAGAGTTTACTGAATTCTGATGTGTGTTGGACTCATAGGTGCAGATATTGCAGCCTAGCTGTAAACCATAAAGTTTCTTTTTTTAAGGGTGAGCGCAGAAGAAGAAGTACAGCTAAAGAAAAGGTCTACCCAAGGAATTGCTCATTTTAGGTTTGGCCAACCTTGAACCCAAGGACCCAAGGTCAGTGAAAAGGACCCTGGTTCAAATCTGCCACTTGACCGCTGTTCTAGCAGGCATGTTGTGAAGTATTTGGCTTGCACATATTCTATATGAGGGCTATTTAGCTGCATTTACTCTGGGCCAGAATGTTGAAAATAGGAATTGTCATGAATCACAGGACAAGCCCCAGCAAATACATATTGCTAATACGATGTATGTTATGTTATCACAATCAGTGTCACTGCACATTGGGCATTTCCTGTGTGCTCAGTCCTCTGATGCAGCAGCCACTCCATTGTACTTCTACTAATCGATCCTAGTATAGGTTAGTTAAAAGGTTTTCCCATCGCTGATTGTTAAATGCCCATTTGGGGCAGTTTGAGTGTTAGATGTCCATTTTGTTAGATATTTAGGGCAGTTTGAGTGTTAGATGCCCATTTTGTTAGACATTTAGAGCAGTTTAAGGGTTGGATGCCCATTTTGTTAGGCATGTAGGGCAGTTTGAGTGTTAGATGCCCATTTTGTTAGACATATGGTGCAGTTTGAGTGTTAGATGCCCACTTTGTTAGACATTTAAGGCAGTCTGAGTGTTAGATGTCCATTTTGTTAGACATTTAGAACAGTTAGAGTGTTAGATGCCCATTTTGTTAGACATATGGTGCAGTTTGAGTGTTAGATGCCCACTTTGTTATACATTTAAGGCAGTTTGAGTGTTAGATGCATATTTTGTTAGACATTTAGAACAGTTTGAGTGTTAAATGCCCATTTTGTTAGACATATGGTGCAGTTTGAGTGTTAGATGCCCATTTTATTTGACATACATGGACAGTTTGAGTGTTAGATGCCCATTTTGTTAGGCATTTGGGGCAGTTTGAGCGTTTGATGCCTGTTAATAGCATATTTGTAGATGCTGTTGGTCCATAAAAAAAAATTTAGAAATAATGTTAGGTCTGTTATTTAATTTGACATTAACATGGCTTCTAAAAAGCCATTTTGGCTTAAGGCTCCCCCCCCCCCCCCCCCCCCCCCCCTCTCATGGTATTTTTACTTTATATCTTCTGACCTCCTCAATGTTTGTGCAGGTGCGAAAACAGCCAGTAGTATTAACTATGCATCTCGTAAACATTTATAAAAGTGACGTTTGGGGTAATTGGACCCAATCAGAAGTCTCGATTTCGCTGTTTGTCTGAGCAAGAGAGTTTTAGGCATTTTACAAAAAATCTTGAGCTTGACTGGGGAGCGAATACATATTTATTGATGTGTAAAGTGGGCATTTGACCCTTTCATCCACCTGCTTCCTTCTAGACATCTCATTTCCATGGCTACCAATGTTCTTTTTTTTTTGGTTTATTGTGAGTGACTATATCTAGCATTGATAGCATAGAATGGGAATGAATATGCTTTGTATGAGATGTTTCTTTGCACTTATTGTCTTATATTTTGAGAGCTTATTGATATTTGTAAATTCAAACCAATATTTTGATGATGTTTTCCATTTGAACATCTAGGGCATACCATGCTAGACTTGGCATGTTTTCGAGGTCATACTGAGTGTATTGAGTCCTTGCTTGCCCAGAATGCTAAAATCTTGGTTCATGACAATGTGACTAGGAGGACACCTCTGCATGCTGCAGGTAAATCACAGTGCCAACCTTGTTAGTGTAGATATAGTAATTACACCTCCGACAGGTAAAGGTAGAGGATGTTTAGAGATATGGCTCAAGCTGTCTAAGTATTTTTAAAGCACTACCATGTATCCTTGTGTGGGTTCTGGGTGCCCTGTTTTAGGGAAAACAAGAATAGACCCACTGCCTACCCGAAAGCATGTCGTAAGAGTCAACTAATTGGGAGCTTCCTTCAAAGTCTGGAACAGGACTGCAGTCCAGAAGTGGACGAACAACCAGAACTTTCTGCCAGAGTTTACAGCTGGTGAATGCAAAGAAAAAGACTGCTATGTAGCAGTGGATTTTTTCCCCCCATAATTGCAATATTTTAGAAGGAAGAGGGTCGTTATTTATTTTTATCCACAGAGCCAGGGAAATAAATTGACCAAAAACTCAAAAGAGATATCAGTTAGGGAAAAAAGGGAGGCCAGCTGCATGCAATTTCAAAGAATTGGTTACTTTTTTGACAAGTTCGTTGAGGGTTTATGTCCCATTCAGGAATATTAAGCAGAAAGAAAAGTAACCTGAAGATATTTTCCCCCTTGTCCAGAGTTTGTAGACCCAACATTATGTGAGAAGAAAAAGTTTCAGTGTTGGATATTAACGCCAGTCAATTACATTGGTTCTTTTCTTCATTCTTATTGTTTTTTGTTCTTTTTGCAGCCATCAGTGGTCATACTAAAGCTTTAAGTTTGTTGTTAGAGGCTGCAGATGATGCTAATGTTGTTGATTGTACAGATATGTATGATAGGTGAGTGAATATTGTCTGTAAAGTCACATCTTCTGTCATTTGTCCGTGCTCTCACTGTTGCAGGGAAAGTTTACTCACACTAGTCTACTTTAGGATTGCCAGATAATCGGTCCCCCCCCCACACACACACACACGTAAATTATGTTTCTGTGGAGTATGTATATTTTATTACCTATCGGTGGAGAAAAATATGAGCAAACAATAATGCTTCACATTGTTTTTTATATTAAAAAATTTGGCAACCCTAGTCTACTTGTGGTGTGTATAAGTTGAAACCCCTACTGTTTCAATCTAGGGGAGAAAATTAGGACATGCACCTCTCTTGATGATAATGACAAAATCCCTGGACACTCAGTAACAACCTAGAAATGGCTAATGAAATAAAAGTAAACTGACCGAGTATACACAGAAATAGGAAAGAGGTACTTAGATGTCTAGAGAAAAGAGATTCATAGCAAGCTAAACAGGGCAGATATCCGGTTAATAGCAAATTAGTCAGGACAGATCATCTTTCCCCAGATGTTCTTATTCTGGTCAGTATAAAAAACCCTTACTAGAAGAGGAATGTGGACAGTAGGTACGTTGACATATACACCTTTAGAATAGTTTTTTTTTAACCATGGCTGACAGTTTCTCCCCTAGATTTTTATTAACACTTTAACCCCAAAAACCATTTCAAAAATAAAGAAATTTCTAAAAAGAAATCCTGCAATAAGCAAACATTTCTACACAGGTCACTAATAAATGTTGTCACATACTACTAAAAAATGTTGTCACATACAACTAATAAATGTTGTCACATACAACTAATAAATGCTGTCACATACAACTAATAAATGTTGTCACATACAACTAATAAATGTTGTCACATACAACTAATAAATGTTGTCACATACAACTAATAAATGTTGTCACATACAATGGACACATTTTTAAAGAGGAGTATATAAAGGGGAGTAATCAGTCGGGTGACCAGTTTGTCTTAAGCTGAAAACGGGACACCGGCTTTTGGATGGTTTTACAGATCCTCTGGCAAGACTTCTGCAGCACCTCCCCATCGTGCGCCACGGATAAGGGCTCAGCTTTAGGACCTAAACAGAATTGGCAGGAGATCTTGGAGTTACTGGCCTCCAGAAATGTAGTGTCCAGTCTGGCTCACATCAGCCCACCCCCAGTGCATGGGTAAAAACATCGATCAAAGCCCATTTGGAACATGGGTAACCACCGCTATCCAAACTCACTGCTAAATGACACCCTTACGATTCTTGGGTGAGCCCAGAACCAGAGCATCATGTGTCAGCTCTGCATCTATGGAAGCCTCCTTGGATGGCATGGAATGCCTAAAATCTGTCTCGGCTTTCCTTTGAGGACCAAACTGTCTGCACGCGGATGCCCTTGACGGATCTCCAGGGGCAACACCTGTAATTAATGGGACAAAGACAACATCACACAAATAAGGTCACAACATGTCCCTATCCCACAAAACTATCCGGGAAGTTAACCTGGTCAAGAAATGCTTGATGAAGTCGGATGTGGCGGCCGAAAGGCGAAAATATCACAGCTATGCTGTAAACAGGCACAATGCATTTACATCACTCAAATGAATGAAAGGAAGAAGAATAAGAAAGAAAATTTATACAGTAACTCGTATCATGACCCACGTCACATTGTGACAGTTAAAGTTGACTTATGACATCACAATGCCTTAAAAAAGCAATATTTTTTTTCTGAATTACCGCTCGCCACCCAATCATTCTCCCCCCACCCTGACCCCCTTGAGGAAATATAATTATATCCAGCCCTCAACACTGTGCAAGTGCAAACATAACCAGTGACATTAATTAAGCTAGCTAGGGACTGGCAAATGTTGCGGTGCCAGTTTGTCTCTCCAGGGATGTGTAATGGATGGCAATGCAGGATTAAAAATAATGTTGATACCATTTAGTTTCTTTTGGCAACACTCGTGAAATTAAGTACATGATATAACGGGGGGGAGGGGGGGGGGGAATGAAGATATATAGACAGTGATATTGAGCAGTTTTGCAAGGCATGTTTTAAGAAAAAGATAAGTTCACAGAAAAACTTTAAACAAACTGGTATAGTTTTTAGCATTTCATTCTGCTTATGCTTTGAATTTCAGCAGATTTAATACAGGTTTTAAGATTTAAATGGTATTAAACGCCAATGGCGCATTAGGCATATAAGGCTAGACTGATATTTTTATAAACAAGTTGGCCCTTGATGGTCAAAGTCACGCCGACCGCCTTTACTTCCCTGTAATTTAGATAGTAGCCATTTAAGACTGGTTCAACCTGGGAGCCAAGGTCATTTCTGAAAATGATCAAATTGCATGCATATTTGAACCCACGACCTTCGTATCTGCAGGCAAGCATTTAATACAGGTTTTATACTATTTGTTGCAGAACCCCTTTGATGTTGTCTGTTGAACACGGCCATACTGATAGCACTGTTTTTCTTATACGTAACAACGCCTTTGTCAATGCACGAGACTCCGAAGGAAGAACAGCTCTTCACAGAGGGGTAAGTATAGGTTGAATTTGAAATGTTGAATGGTCCACAAGATATGACCTAAAAGATTCTTTAAAAAAAAACCAAAAAAAGTTTGTGTGAATCCTAGACATTGCAGAACCAACCTCAACATTTTTTTTTAGCTGTTTGGTTTCACTAGGCACTTAGTTTGTCATTGCATTTTATGGTCGCACTCAGTACCATTGTTTAAATCAACAAAAGGCAGTCTGTTACTAAATTGCTTGCATTTGAATTAAACTGGGCATTTCAGAATTATCAGTCATGTTCGTAACCCCATAAACCATAAACACTGATTTAGACATAAATACAACAAATATTGACTAATGTATACAACAGGGGATGGTAAGATCTAATAGGTTCTCCACATAGGGTTGATGCAACTTGAAAGGCTGAATAACCTGAAACAAAATATAATCTGATAGATACTTCACATATTGATGAATACAACTTGAAATTGTTTAGTCATCTTACCAAGATACGACCAAATAGATACTTGTCTTAAAAACTTATATGGTGTGACTTTAGTTATATTGAAAATGTGAATAGTAAAATACAATAAGCTGCCTGCAAAGATAATTTCTGATAGCCAGCTTCACGAGACTTGACAAATGTGGATGGGTGTTACATGTCAGGAGAGTTAAAAAAAAAAACCACTAAGTAAATATGAATACAAGTAATGAACAAGTGAAGATAAGAGAAATGTCTGTGCAACCACTAGTATTTGCAATTGTAAGGCAGAGGAGATAGAACTATGTTGGACAAATTCTGAGAAAAGACAGAGAATCAGCAAACATTCACTGAAATGGGAAATAGAGGGGTTAAGGAAGCAAGGATGTCCAAGAGAAACCCTAAGGCGAATGTTGATAAAAGAAGCCAAAGATGATGGACTGGATTGCATTCTTGATATTACAGTGATTAAACGGAATGGAGAAATAGACTGCGAACCCAATGTGGCATATAATGGCACAAAAGGACAATAACCGAATGAACTCCCCGTGTGGGTTCTGGGGCCCTATTGTGAGGGAGCAAGAATTGACCCATTGCCCCAAACAAGCATGTCATAAAAGCCGAGTAGTTAGGAGATGTTTCCATTGAAGTAGGAGTGCATCTATCTGCATGAGAGGTGAGGAACCAACAGTCTGCATACAAATAAGCCAGATCTGTAAAATGGATGTGCACCCAAAACTCAATTTCTGGAACAAGACCAGAAGTGGATGGACAGCAAGAACTTTCCACCAGAGTTCCCAGCTGGTGAACACAGAGACGAAGAATGAATGAATGAAGAAATGGCTCTCTGTATTCTAGAAACAAATAATACACAGAGAAGGAAGAGATTTGAATCAGGAGATTCCCCGTGTGGATTTCAGCATTCCATGGGTTGGGGGGGGGGGGGGGGTTAGTCTCATACACTCTTAAGCATATTAAAAATGGTGTCTAATTAAGAGTGTTTCCTTTGAAATTGCAATACACCTGATAAGTAAAATGAATATCCATTCAAAGCTCAAGCTCTTGGTTCAGAAGTGGTCAAACAACCAGAACTTTCTGACAGAGTTTACAGCTGGTGAATAAGAGAAGAAAATAATAATCAGGAAATTGTTTGTAAACACATAATAAATTGTATTGTGTTTCCTTACAGGACTTTGCAGAGCAAAAACCAACCCCAGCATTATTAAAAATAATTGTTTCTAATTTAACTTGGCTTTGAGTAGTTTGCCAATGTTTTCTGTACGATTGGCTCTGGATACCACTGGGACAAACCACTGCAAGGCATTCTGCTGCCAAATCGCCCACAGCCGGGGTCAAATCCAGCACCTCAGAATTACAGAGCATGCGCGCAACGGCCAGGCCAGAGACACTGACTTGTAGACTGAACAATGATCATAATTGATAGATCTTATGGGTTGACTTTATCTCCTATCTGCTTTGTAAAAATTGTATAGTTTATTAGCAGTGATTAATTTATGATATTTTCTGGCAAGTTGCAGCATGTTTTCACAACGCAGCATGCTACGTAGCTTATTTTACTATCTGTTTGTGCCGTTGTCATCATAATATTTTTCAATTTCTATTCCATATTAGGCAGCAAATGGCCATGAAGAACTGTGTGGATGCCTTAATACATCATGACGCAGATCTAAAGCTACGTGACAATCTAGGTCGAACTGCTGTGCACATGTGTGCAATGTGTGGACATATGGCTTTGTTGTCCTCTCTTCTCAGTGTAAGTCCAGTCACGGATGTTTTAAATTATAAGCATTTGCGCTATCAATTTATATTAAACCACAAACATTCATACTGTTGCCTGCGCAGAATAGAGGGAATTCAATGGTATGATAGAATCACTAATGTGGAGAGCCAAACAAGTCCCAGTGGATCAAGAGGTGAAGAAAAGACGTTGGCATTGGATAGGACACACGCTGAGAAAACCTGAGAACAATATAACTAGAATCACTTTGCATTGGAATCCACAGGGGCGTAGAAATAAAGGAAGATAAAAAAAAAACATGGAATAGGGAGCTAGAGAAAGTTTAAAAGATGGGGAGAGCTGCATGCGATAGTAAGGGATAGAACGACTTGGCAGTTGGTTGAGGGCCTATGCTCCATTGGGGGCTAGAAAGCTAGAAGAAGAAGAAGCACTATTAGTGATAACTATGATAAAAGTTAGTTAAATGTTTTTTAACAGGACATCCTAAACCAACTCTAGCTTTTGTTGGCTGTTCAGGTAATCAGGTTATTGCAGTTCCAGATTCATAGCAAACGGGTCACACCATAGTTTGCTCCATTCCTGTGCCAATCAAAAACACACAGATTGTCTATCACTGTCCTTTATGTAGGTATGTAAGTTGTATCCCACCTGGACATCACACAAAGCGATAAACACCCGTTGACATAAAGTGCCACCATGCAGATGAGGATCACCCATGGAGTGGTCCCGGAAACCCTTTTCAGCAGTTAAGCCATATTTATAGCCTAACTATATTTAGGGCCCCCAGCAAAAGCCAAGGTGGGGCTTCAAAATAACTAAAAATTGCATCACACATGGGGATGACAAGATATGAATTAACACTGCCCTTTGTAAAAATTGACGCAGGCTGCAGTTTCAGCAAAGCCAATAGCATACACACACATTAAATGCATAAGGCAGCTGTCAGAAGTGCCAGCACAAACAAACCAGCACTAGAAATGCTGTTCATTGTTGATGGAAGCAGCAGTTACAGAAGATCAGTGACTGCACAAGCAATTAATTGCATAAGACTCCATCATTTCTCTGGCAACAGGCCACTCACCATTTTGTTAATCTGCATTTCACAACACAAACCATGTTGGGGACAGTCAGAAAGCATTCCAAATGAAATCCACAGTTCTCAGTATCATGCCAGGCACTCAGTTGAGACAGAATTGTAGGCTGTTTTGGGTTTTACTAGGCAATTTTTGTGGATATGCTTGTTAAATAGTTTACTATTCCTGCTAAATAGTTGACACTTATTGCTTTTTTGAAATCATTGCAAAGCAGTTTTCTGCCAGATCGCTGCAGCTGACTTGAACTCTGTGTTCTGGTATTGAAGGGTTGGGACAGTTTTCTTTCATCAGAAAATACCCTGACTGCCAGGTGATCCAGCCTAAAATGGATACCAGGTTATGTTCTAGGAAGTTAAGATGGCCAGCATGATGTTGATGACATCACCCATCAGATGCCGATTGGTCTTTAAAATTATAGGTCTAGCACTATATACCCGATGCGCCAAAGGCATGGAAAGAGTCCATTACCCTACTTTATTTTATACCAGAACTATGAAGCTGCCTTCAGAATCCCTAAGGTACAGCCTCTGATGGAAACCATGAGGCATGTGAAATACTTCACCAGCAAAGTTGGTTAGACAATGTGCAAGGCCAAATCGATTTTCTTCCCTCTGGTTTGTTTAACTTGGTTGTTGATAAAGGAGCAGATTCATTTCATGTGTTCTTTTTGGGTTTGATTTTGTAGTTAAATATTCATGATTTTTCGTTAACAGTAATAGTTACTTTTTATTTGTTTGCTGTCTATTTAGCCAAGCTTTCTGGTTGCATTGAGTTTTTATTCAGGTATTCTATGGACAGCAGCTTATCTGTATTCTATGAGGAGAGTATGAAATATTGTTTTACTAACTCAAAATGCCTTCCCTGGTAATAAATTCTATTTTTTGTGTTATTCCATAGGCTGAGATGTTGGATCAGTTAGAAGACAATAAAGGATACACCCCACTGCATTATAGCTGTTACAATGGTAGATTTGTGTGTGTTGTTTGTTCTTTATTCCGCTCATTATTTGAATATTTGTTAAAGAAGCATTAGGAAAATGTGTTTTTGTATTTATCTTGATTTGTTGTAAATTGATCTTGTGTAACAGGCATTGAAAGGAGAAACAAATGGATTGAGGTAGTGAGGACCTCCAAAAGAAACCCACGTACGAACATTGTTGAGAAAGGCAAAGGTGCTCAACTAAATTCTGTCCATGATATTGAAAGGTCTGCACGGGATAGAGTAGAACTGAGGACTAGACTGCAAGCCCTATGTGACATACAACAACACAACAGGATGCTGATGATCTCGTGAAGATAAATTGATTTGTTCGTTTAATTAGAATGAGTCTGGCAAATATGAATTCATCTTATACAAGGTCATCATCATCATGTTGCAGGTCCTTTGCAGAATCTAACCCCTTCAGATTTTTTGCTGTCAGCTCTAGTTTTTGAGATATTATATTTTTGTCCAAAGCCTTATAAAGAAAATACTGTAATAATATGAATACACAGATGCTTGTTTCTCAAAAATGAGTTGCTACAGTCAAATAAATGTGATATTTGGATTTAGCAAGTCTCATTTAATAAAAATCAGCTGTAAAATATTTGGCACCAGACATTTGTTTGCTGTTGAGTTAAGTTGAGTCAAGAATTGACATCACAGCACTCGGGGCATTCCCAAGCAAGCTCCATCCTCAACTTCAGCAGCCAGTGCCGAGTTCCAATACTGATGGTACTGGTTACAATCTGTTTATATGTCCTTCTTGTCTTTCCTCTGTGTGTAGTGAGCCGGCCAGACTCTCTGCCCAGGTGCTTCATTCTCTCCAGGCCATAATAATCTTGTTTCTCTAATTTATATTTTTTTATTTGGATTTTTCATTTCATTTGTTTGCTGTAGATCTGTAATATTAGCATTTGTGCCTGTCCATAAATCTAGGTCCTTTGTCTTGTGGATCAGTTTTATTTATGATATTCCTCCATGTGACGATCTTAGACCAAACAGCATAATTTTGTCATGTCTCCCTCTTCTGCCACCGCCTTTTAAGTTGTTAATCATCATATGTTTTGCCTCTCTTTTCCTTATACAACCACCCCCCCCTTCCCCCCCCCCCCCCCCCCCCAAAAAAAAAAACTTTTCACTTTTTCAAAGTTGAGTATAATGTTTTACATTAATTGGTTTTATCCAAATAGTTGTTAGTTAATCTGGCTATACAAGGTTCTGACTGAAGTCCATGCTGTGTGGCGTTGGTAGTCATGTCTATCCACAACCTTCAGTCTCGTGTACTTTCATTCAACTCTAACTTAGATGATCCTCCATGCCATGATGTCAGACTGTCCAGCATATTTTATGTTGGTCTCCCTCTGCCTCTCCTCTCCTCTCCAACTTTCCCTACTGTCACAATGTACTCCAGTTTTCTCTTTCTCAGTGTTAAAGATTTTTTTTTTTAAATACATAAACTGTTACATTTTTGGCTGGAGATTGCATCCGTAACCTTTATCATTCTGTAGCTTCATCAGCTATTTTTGAAAAAAACATTTCCAGGTCATGACAGCTGTGTAGAAGTTCTTCTCGAGCAAGGAAGCATCAAGAAGTTTACAGGAAACCTGTTCAGCCCTTTACATTGTGCTGTGTAAGTTAAAATATATTGACATATATAATGTTGCCATTCCAAAGTTGGCTCATAAAATGTTGCCAATTCCCTAAAATATATGTATTCAACATTGGTAGAGATAACGCTGCTGTGCTGTGTTAAAATATGAACTGTTTTTCTTCTTGATGAGAAGGGCTAGTTTTTCTTTCAGCTCTGACTGCGTTACCTGAAAGTTGGACAAAATTAATAACTTGTGTTTCAGGCCATAGCTAATGAAAGAAAGCCTATCAGAAACTTTCTGCAACTACAATATAGTGCTCATGGTGGTTGCATTGATATTTAGAATTTGTCAACACTTTTACTTAAAAGTTCATTAGAACAAATTTTTTTGTAATTTCTCATGAAAATATATTTGAAATCTTATGCCTCGCCAACTTGCAACACTTTATTCAAGATAATTGTTGTTATTGCTCACCAATAAAAGGAACCCCCACCGTGACCACAGGACCAGCAAAGAGGAGCCAAACATGTTTGTAAATGAAACATTGCACATAGTTAACCTTTAACCTTTAACATATAGTTAGGAACAGTAAGCCACAACTACGGGTGCAGCAAACAATTTCAGCTATTGTACTTGGCGCATTCAAAACTAGACCATAATTATAACTGAAGCTGTCTTGAGCAGGGTTGAATGTTGTCAGCTTCTTATTTTATTTTTAGAACAACAAAAGAAGGAACAAAACCAAAAAACAAATGACTATCGCAGTGGTGACCTTGGCTCCCAGGTTGACCCAGTCTCAAATAGGTACCAGGTAATATCCTGAAAGTAATAATGGCAGTCAAGCAGTTCTTGTCATCAACCATCAAATACCTCTTGGCTTGGTCTATAAAAAATCGGAGGCTGACATACTATATCTGATGTGCCACTGGCTCTCAGCTGCAGTGAGAGAAAGTGTTCTGTACAATGTAGAACCTGTTCCGAAGTGTGCATGTGAAAAAAAAAAAGCAGACAAGCTGAAACAGATCTTAAGGCACAGAATTGCGGTTTCTGAGAAAACTACTGCATTAAAATCTGTGGTTAAGCACCAGCAAGGAAGTCAGAATTAAAATTTTGAGAGCATGCATCTTCCCTGTAGCAACATACGAATGTGAGTCGTGGACTATCCTCCAGTCCTTAAGAAAGGAAATGAGAGGCTTTAGAGCTGAAATGCTATAGAAAGATTATCAGAATACCATGGATACCAGAAATACTGACATAAAGATCTGAAAATAAGAAGAACTAATGAGAATCTTGGAAAAATATTATGGCATGAAGCGGCAGGCGAATTGGTAGCAGAAGGCATGGTACCAGGAAGGACAGACTGGGACCGACCAATACAAAGATGGGTACAGATTATAAGTGACTCCTTGGATATGAAAATAAATGAGGCTAAAGAGCTGGCGAGAGACCAAGTTTCTTTTCGCCAGTGATAAGAGCGACGTTCTGCAAAGGACCTGCTACGTGATGGTGAGAAAAATGTAAAGTATATCATGGACTGACAGAAAATAAAAACACAAAGGGTGCAGTCATCTGAGAAACATAGACACTTTAAACTTCTTGAGAAATTATTTGAAGACTCAGATTTGTTGAAAGTGTGAAGCAGAAATAAACCGTAAATCTTAGTGACAACTACCAAACTTAATGGGGAAAAAAGGAAGATAGTGTGATAAATCCTAATGGCTTTGTCACATGGTATGATGGGACAAGAACATGGACATGATCCATGATTCTGGTGGTAGCTTGTTAATCGAGCAATAGCTGCATGTGCAGATTTACACAGCACCTGAGTATAATGATTTCTAGTCTTTTCCTTAGCCTTCACCGACTGTAAACTCCAGGAGGAATTTCTGGTTTTTCCTCTGATGCACATTAGTCTTGTTCCAGAACCTGAGTTTTGGATGCACATCCATTTCACTGCTTTTTTTTTTGGGGTCATCTCACTGATACCAGGTTGTAGCCCAGTGTTGGGGTTTTCTGTATTTGTTTTGTGCTTCTCTGTGGGGTGGGTGATGGATTTAATCATCTTTTTTGGCAGGTTTCAGCTACACCATTTATCCTTATCTTTCTTGGTCTTCCTCTTGCCTTCCTCCCAGATGTTCTGCTGTTAAAAAAATCTCATATGCAGTTTGGTCTAGCTGCATTCTCACTAAATGTTCTAATCACTTAATTTTTTTTGTCTGTCAGTATAATCCAGACACGGTCTTATTCCAGTTTTTTTTAAATGCTGGTATTTGTAACACCTCCTGGCCTGTTACGGCGCAGTAATCACCCCCCCCCCCAAAAAAAAACCTCCCAAATAGAGCCCTAAAACTCACACGGGGAACCTGATTTGTAATTAGGCCACACTGCTGCTGATTTCAGGTTAAGCATTATCAGCATTTGTTGTTTTCTTGCAGGATAAATGGTAATGATAACTGTACAGAGTTGTTAATAGACATACTAGGAAAGGGGATTGTCAATTTACAAGATAGCAAAGGTCGCACACCGCTGCATGCGGCAGCCTATTCAGACCAGGGAGAATCTATGCAAATTTTGCTGGGTCACAAAGCTGATGTCAATATACAGGACTGTTCAGGGAAAACTCCAGTCATGTATGCAGCATCTAATGGTCACATTTCTGCTGTTGGTATGTATTTTTTTTTTTAAATATCTTTCATGATGCTTGTACCTTGTAAAGAGCTAAGGCATTAATAGTGGATAGTTTGAGAAAAGTAAAGTGGTGTGATAAAAATGTTAGTATGTTTTTATGTCATGTATTTAATGCAGTAATTGTATGTCTTCTTTGTGTACAAAATATTACATGTTTGTCACAAGAGAATTCTCCTTGTGGGGGTTCTAGGGCTTCAATTTGGAGAACAAAATCTAGACCTGCTACCCCCGTACAATAAATAAACAGAGGGGGAACCTTTGAGGCCACTAAATGTTATGAAATAATCAAGTAACAGAAAGTGTTTTGATCGGCACTCATAGAAAGAAGTAGAAAGGTAGAAGAACACATGTTCTTAGTGCACTTGTATCCATGGCGAGGCACAAATGCCGTCTGGAGGCGACAGGTTCAATTCCCGGCACGGTAACTATAGCTTTCTATTTTTTATGTTGTCTAGTGTGTTTTTCTACCTTTCTACTTCTTTCTATGAGTGCCGATCAATACACTTTCTGTTAATTGATTAATTCATAATACCCCCTAACAAGCACGTCTTCGGAGGTGACTAATTAGGGGTGTTTTCTTCAAAGCTGGAGTACATCTGCATGAGAGGCGTTGAACCAATAGCTGTTGTCTGCATTCAGAGAAGTCAGGTCTATAAAATGGATGGGCACGCAAACCTCCAATTTTGGATCCAGACCACAGCCAGTGAACACAGAAAAGAAGAAAAAGATATAATGATTGAACAATTCGTCTACTGTGTTGTTTAGAATTATTGTTAGCAAGTGGTTATTTATATATATATATGTGTATGTGTCAGTGTTAGTCTTTTTATGTGTGATGTATATGTTGCATTATTTATAAGTATAGTCAGTATAACATAGAAATAATCATGTATCTTGGAAGTGACATAATAATTTAACAATCCATTTACTCTGTGCTCAGAATGTGTGTTATTGAATGGTGCTTTAAGTGTGTCAGAGTGTGCTTCATGTTATGTATCTACTGCTGTAATGTGTGAGGGCCGTGAGGGCCCTCTGGAAGCGAGTGAACAGTGCAGAAGCGCAAATAGATCATTACAGTCTGAGGAGAATGGCGCTGCAAGGAGTTGCCAGGGGATCTGCTCAAGCGAAAGGCGTGACAGATATACAATCAGTTACTGGTGCCATCGGAATTGGAACTCTTCTTTTGCTGCTGAAGATAAGGACGGAGCGCTTATGAGATTTTCCAGAGTGCTATGATGTGGATTCTTAATTCATCATTTTGATGTAACTTTATATGTCCTTTTTATTAGGCAGAAGTCACATAATAATTGAAGTAATAATCTGCTATTCTCAGAATTGTTGTTAGAGAATGGCGCTGAGCTGACAGTATCTGACAAAGATAGAAACACTGCCTTACATCATGCATGTTTCCACGTATGTAAAATTTGGCATAATACTTTCAATATGATCCTTATTTCTTTATCATAAAATACGCAATTTATTGTTATAGTTTATGTTTCTATTTCACCATCATGATTTCTGATATATTATCAGTGTTGGTTACAAAATAAATCAGCCTTCGCCTATAAAAAGTAAAAAAAAAAGCTCCCTTTTCCACACCTTTAGGTGTATAGGGCATATAGATCTAGACCTAAATTTTTATAGCACATTTGGTACAAGGTGGGTGATGTAGTCAGCAACATGCCGGCCGCCTTCATGTCCTAGGACTGCACCCAGTACCCACTCTAGGCTGGGTCGACCTAGGAGTCAAGGTCATTTTTGAAAAAAGTCCGGCTGTGCCAGGGCGCGAACCCACAAGTGATATTTTTAAGCTGTTTGTGGTTTGTCCATATCAATGTGAACATTGGTCAGAGTAATGAGAACTGAAGAAGAAGAAACTGGAGTCAGTTGAGATGAGAAGCATGTTGAGAATCTTGTGGACATAGGAGCAAACACTGAGGTATTAAGGAGTTACATGTACTACAAAATCAGCTATCAAAAGTATCAGGACAAAGCAAATGAAATTTATGGAGCAAAATAAAAATACTAGACATGAGACGCAGAGAAAGACGGACAATTTTGTTAAAACTTGAAGCAGCTAGGTGACAAATAATAATATAAGCTACACCAGTTTAATAATTAAAAAAAAGAATATATAAATATATATAAATATATATATATATATATATATATATATATATATATATATATATATATATATATATATATATATATATATATATATATATATATATATATATATATATAGATATATAGATATATATATATCCAATGACAGAGTCATGGTCGCCACTGTCTGTTGGAGACCAGACATCTCAACAAAAGTAGAATGATCTCCAGATTTGAGAAAACTTTCAGTGTATTTAACTTTTTTCTTCTATTCTTGATATTTACATTTATGTTTATCGGGGACCTCAGCTGTCTTATTTTGATATTATTTTCTAAGATTCTTGCCTGCCTACTGTGTTTCTTGTTGATCTGGACCTAGTTCAGCATTTTTTCCTGCTTACATGCATACTTTGAACAGACTTGCCGGTCCAGTTCTTTATCCTTGTGTACATATTGTAGAATACACATATTTTAAATCCAAGCTAAGTTATTTCCTTACCGTCTTACATAGATTTTCACACACACAAAAATATGTGTGCAGGATTTAAAAAAAAAAAAATTTTCTTTGTTGGATTGTGATTTAGCCATATAAATCTTATTTAGTTCAAGAAAACATGTAGATATAGAAAAAGACAATACATTATAAATGTATTGTTTGTCATAGTTCTTTATTTTGTTAAAGTACAGTGAAACCTCGCCTAACGAGCATAATTCGTTCCAGAATCACACTCGTTAAGCGAAAGACTCGTTATGCAAAACAATTTTTCTCATATAAATTAATGTCAAATACGATAATGCGTCCCATGTCGAAAAAAATACTCACAAAATGCTATGTATAACGTGTATTCAAATAAAAAATATATACATATTTTTAAGGGGAGTGAATCATTTTCATCTTTTCTTCAAACGCGGAAAGGACCCTCCTGGAATGCGAATTCAATTTGCAGAAGAAAAAAAATCAAAATAATTATGATACATAGCTAATTATTTTTTGTACTATAAAGATATCCAGAGACATTTTTTTACTAGAAAGATGTCCAGAGACATTTGTTTTTGCCGACGCTTTAAACTTTGGCAAACATGCGGCACAGCATTACCATTAAATAAATTTGCAGCGCGCAAAGCTACTTTTTTTTATTAGGGTGTTACTTCTCAGTGTAAGATACAACATTTTCCCATGCTTTCAACATTTCTCTAATTTTGCCAGAAGGTTGTTGCTTTTCTGTTACCTCCTTCTCCTCTGACAAACTTTCCTCCAAAATGTCTTGCTGTGAAACGCAATGCAACTCCATAAGCTCTTGGGTAGTCAGCTCTTGGCTGTGCTCTTCCACAAGCTCTTCGATGTGACTGTTATCCAGCCCTAATCCCATGATAGTGGCCAAAGACACAATCTTGTTGACTACAGGTTCCACAGGTGCTGTCTCGAACCCCTCAGAGACAGAGTCAATATTCCAATCACCCCCTGATAGACATTCGACAACGCTCTCCAGGCCAAAGCTTCTTCCAACCAGATGTTAGGGATCTCCTTGGTAACCCCTTCCCACGCTTTGTCGATCATCTCGAGGCAGGCAACGATGTGGAAGTGATTTTTCCAAAATCTTTGAGAGTGAGGTTGATCCCTTCAGTCACCTGAAAACAATGCTCGAAGAGTGCTTTAATGTAGAGCTTCTTAAAGTTAGAAATAACTTGCTGGTCTATGGGTTGGAGTAACGGAGTGGTGCTGGGAGGCAAAAACTGGATCTTGATGAACTTAAATTCTTCAGGGAGGTAATCTTGTAGGCCTGGAGGATTCATTTACATATATCACAATATAACACAAGTTTGAGAAAATGTGTGATCACAAGCGACACTACGATGCTACTGGAACTAGTGCTAAACACAGACTGATGTAAAATGCGCACAATCTGGGACTTTCCCTCTCCTCGCAACTCGTTATGCGAAACGTCGCTCGTTATGCAAGTCATTTTTTTACAATTTGTTTTGCTCGTTATACGAATTTCTCGTTATGCAAGTCATTTTTTTACAATTTGTTTTGCTCGTTATACGAATTTCTCGTTATGAGAGGTGCTCGCTAAGCGAGGTTCTACTGTAATGTCATTTATTTTGGGAAGTACCTTTTTTTTTTTTAAACAAAACTTTCATGTATGTTGGGAAACAATTTAGCTATAGAAATGACATCAAAATTGAGAAGTAACTTAGTTACTTGCGTGACACATACCCTGGTATTGTGAGTAATTTAGGTATATCAGTACCCGAGTTTAGGAGGAACTTGAGTTATTCAAGTTGCAATATATTGGTAAAATAATTTATACAGCTGAAGTAATATAATTTCGGATTGAATAACATTTCAGATGGAATTTGCATTTGAGAAATAGTTTTGTTGTTTTAACTTTGTGGTAAGATCGTATATGGTACAGTTAGTGTTCAATCAGTTCAAATCATCTCTGTGTGGTTTCGGGGGGCCCCATTGTTGGGAAAAAGGAATAGACCCACTTAGTAGTAAGAGTCGACTAATTTGGTGTGTTTTCTTCAAATTCTTAGTGCATCTGCCTGAGAGGCGAGGAACCAACAGTCTGCATAAAAATAAGCCAGTTTTGTAAAATGGGTGTGTATGCAAAACTTAAGTTGTGGAACAAGAATATCTTCGAAGTCGGATTGCATCTACCTGAGAGGCGAGAAAACAACAGTCTGCATACAGATTAGCTAGATTTGCAAAACGTGTGTGATTGCAAAACTCAAGTTCTGAAATAATAATATCTTTGATGTCTTGAGTGCATCTACCTGAGAGGCAAGGAACCAGCAGTCTACATACAGATTAGCTAGATTTGTAAAACCGGTGTGTATGCAAAACTTAAGTTCTGGATCAAGAATATCTTTGATGTCTTGAGTGCATGTACCTGAGAGGCAAGGAACCAGCAGGCTACATAAAAGTTAGCCAGACCTATAAAATGGATGTACACACAAAACTCAAGTTCTGAAACAAGACTAATGTCTAAAATTGGAGGAACAACCGGAACTTTCTACCAGAAGTTATAGCCCCTTGAACGTGAAGAAGAAGAATTTAACTTAAATATTTATGAACAAAGTTAAATTTCTCAAACATTCAAGTGGCCAAACTGTAAATTCTTTCATCCCCAGAATCGTGAAGACATTGCGTTGCTAATTCTAGACAAGATCGATGACTATGTGACCATCAACATGGCCAACTCAGAACTTAAAACGTATGTTTTTACATGATTTGTTGAGTGGTACTGGATTGTTATTCTTTCACATGTTTTCCTTGAAAATAAACTGCTAAAAGAAACTGTAGTTTTAAGCTAATACTGGTAATAAAAAGCTTGCTGGACCTCTGAAAGTCAAGGGTTCAAATCCACAAAAAAAGGGGAATTTTTTTTCTCCAAGATTGAACCTGCCTCCCAGGTCAGCCCAGCCCAGCCTAAAATGAGTACCAGGTAATGTTCTGGGAAGAAAAGGTTTCTAGGGTGATGTTGGACACCACTTTCCCCCTCACCAATTCCTTTCTAACCAACCCCCCCCCCCCCCCCCCCCCCTCATCCAATCCAGGGCTAGTTGGTCTTTAAAACTATAGATCTAGCAACAACAACAACAACAACAAAACATGAAAAGAGCCTTTTCTTTACTTGTTTGCTGTTTTATGCCTGACGTAACAAAGGCAGGAAAATAATCCTTTTCTGTTATTGTAGAGCAGGTTCTTCGCAGAGCATCCTTCTCATCACTATCTGCCTGAAAGACACTCAGTCTCTCACCAGCTCTTCCACCTCATGAACCTTTCTACCTAAAGTGCCCTGTGTCCATCTTTGTGCTGGTGGCCCCCTGCTACTCTTTCCTGATACCATGCCTTCAACTATTATTTTGATCCTTGACTTTATTGGTTTTGTGGTTGGCATGCTTGCCTGTAAAGAGAGTGGTTTGTGTTTACTTCCAACAGAGGCAGGAGGTTTAAACAACCAGTGTGACTCTTGGCTTGGCCTAACCTCCTAGAAAAGGACTCCAAACAGTTTGTAATATGTTACACAAATTGTCTTGAAAGGAAAGGCATTGAGGAAATGAACTAACCACCCCACCACATATGTTGTAACCTATAATTTTCTTCTTCGGCATTCCCTGCCCCTGAGGTTCATTACTGCAGATATCACCCGCCTCCACCCATTTCTCTGGTTGGCCTTCTCTTTCCTTTTGGTGACACCAAGTGTCACATTGATAGGTGAAGTAAATTTATTTGTTGTCATTTATGTTCAGTTGAGCTTAGTTGAGCTGAGTCACAAAAGAGATTTCAGCACTCGGACATTCCCATGTGCGCTTTATCCCCATCTTCAGCAGCCAGCGCATAGTTCCTATACTTATGGTACCGGACGCAGTTTGATTATATGTCCATCTTGCCTTTTCTTTGAGTATAGTGTGCCGGCCAGGCCCTCTGTTAACACCCAGGTGTATCATTCTCTCCAGGCATGATAATCTATTTTCTCTTTGTTGCCAGAGGGCCTTGACCACATCTGCCTTGTTGTGTATCAGTTCACCACCCAGCAAATCCAGCAAGTCTGTCTGCCTTGTTCAATTGTAAACATGTCCCCAAATTGCAACAGCTAGTATTTCCCTTCAGTTACCTTTAGACCCTAGGATGTATCTGAACTGCACAGCAAATTGTATTATGGTTGACACATTTGGATATGGAGTTGTATTTGTTGCAATAATAGATGTACCTAACAGGTCGATGATATTCAACCACTCATCGAAAAACGGTTTTAATCATTCCGAATCTGACAATCTCAAAAGGTTGATAATTGTTACTGGCTGAACAAATTGTATTCCATCTTGATGCCAGTACTCGTCTTCCTCTCAGAGCACATGTTCAACATACTTTTTCCCAGAAATGAATGTCTGTTGTTGAGAAAATGAATGTCTGTTGTTGAGAGGGACTCACGTGTCAGAACCTTAATCAACTTCACACATTTTAAATGTAGTTCTTTTCAGCAACTTGTCTTTTGATTTTATCCCAAACCAGCTCTATCTGGTTGAGGTGTGAATCATATGCAGGGAGTCGCAGAGAAGTGTGGCCGTATTCATTAATGATTTTGCCAGTATGATACACCTTTGTCTTATTTGTTTTCCTCACATGCTGCAACAACTCTGCCTTTAAATATGTGTCGTCAAAGTTGACTTTTTCCTTAGCAAGCCACATCCTTATTTGATGTCGTTTGTACTTTGTTTTCCTCTGATTCAGCATTATGATGGGCAGCATTTTCCATTACTAGGCATGATGATCTGTCCAGAATTAGAAATAGCCCATTCTCCATCCAGTGCCTGAAAATGTATCCATTAATTTCAGTGTGGTAGTCCCTACCATCTATACTTTTTGATTGGAAAATATATCCAGGATCATGGATAAGACCTTTTTCACTGCTTCCTGCATTAGTGAGCATAATGTGCTGGCCATTGGGTTTGGAATATTTCTTTTTTTGTTCACCGTTTATTGATTGCCATTCTTTAGCGTATGTATGGTGAACATTAACCTATGATACATCCAAATATACAGTATCATAGCCTTGCCTCCTTCGCTCACGGGTCTGCCTCAGGTATTTGGTTTGACTAGCAATCAGACGTGGCTTTTCACAAATAATATTCCTTCTACCTACAGTTTTTTCCTGAAAGTGTACTCAGTGGCTCTTAAAATTTTCCACAAACTACTTTTTGAAATGTCAATACTGCATTGTGATTTCAATGTTAATTTCAGTTTTCGGAGAGTAATAAGTTGATTTGTCTCTAACATTTTTAAGATCTCACGTCTAATGACATCTACATCAATGTCATCAACTTTTCCTTTCCTTCCTTGCTTGACATGAGCCTACTTTGCGTCCTGTCTAATCCAGCGGTTAAATGATGCTCTATCCAGACCAAGCGCGCATCGTTTTCGTTTCTCTGGGTCATGAATATCACAATATAAATGACTCATCTTAGATTCCATGAGGAAGTGCTTGTACAGTAAAACGGTTACCTTCTGTTTAGTTATAAATTTGCATCTCAGATTCATTTTGAAGTCGATTTCTATGTCAGCTTTTATAAGCTAGCTATATGACACAGTAACTCAACACTGATTTGTAGATGCGCCTTTAATAAACAACTTTGACCAACGTCTAATTTTGGCATCCGATCACTAAAAGTGTGACTTTGCACGATAAAATCATAAAATTGCTTATGTTTTTTTTTTACCCACCCGTTAAACCAGTCAAAGTGTGCATTACTTCCTGAAACTAATGAAAGTAAACCTTCCAAAAGTCTACCAAGATGATTTCATGATAAAAATATTTATTGTAAAGAAGGAAAAAACTACACATGATATTCTTCTTTAGTGAAAAAAATATTTCTTGAACGTCATAGATATTCTAAGGCTGCATGCAAAAAATAATCATTGCGATATAACGGGAAGTTTTTGGGAAAATGGCTAGCATGTGTGTTTGTCTATTGTTGAACAAACTATAGCATTATGGTGCAGTTATAATTTAATAAGACAGAGTCAATATTCCAATCACCCCCTGATAGACATATAGAAACAATTTCTGTATCCAAACATTTCACAAGCATTGACAACATCATGAAAAATATACTGTACATATGACAAGTACACACCTTCACTTATCGCAAAGCTTTGTTTAGAATGTTCTCTGCAGATAAGGCAATGAAATTGTGTTAAGGAAATTATCACTATTTTTCAATTTTAGACCACTTCATATTGCTGCCAGAAATGGTTTGGTTCCAGTCGTACAAGATCTTATCAGGAAAGGAGGAAGTGTTTTAGCCTTAGATGAAAATGGTAATTATTTTGGTATTTATTATGTCAGCTCGTCTTTGAATTTTTTTATTATTTGTAAAATTTTTATTCTTTTAGTATTCTTCTTTCTGCAGTATGTGTTCATGATGTCTATGTTGTTGTTACACAATTTCTACTGAATGTGTTCATAATATCTATGTTGCTTGTTACACAATTTCTGCAGTATTTATTCATGATGTCTATGTTGCTCATTATCCATGTCATTGAGAGTTAGAAAAAGAATTTTTGCTTGCTACTTACATCCAGTTTTAACATATGGCTGTGAATCCTGGACAATCAGTAGGCAGACCAAACACTTTCTTGAGGCCTCAGAGATGTGGTTTTACAAAAGAATGCTTAGAATACCTTGGCAGCCAAAAAGATCATCCAAGAGGTTTTGAAAGAGGCTGGAGCCCGAAGACAACTTATCACAGACATCAGAAGGTAGTCATCATTTTTCGGCCATGTTATGAGAAGAGGGAAAATAGAACATGTTGTGACCACTGGAAAGACCTGTGGAAGGAAGGAGGAAGACAACGAGAGAAGATTCTTGACAGTCTTGTTGCATGGCATGGAGGTGTGTCGGCACACGAACTGATACATGCTGCAGGAGATCGCAGATTGTGGAGAGGCATGATCGCCCACGTCAATCGGCAAGGCACCTGATGATGATGATGATGTTGCTTATCACACAATTCCTGCAGTATGTGTTCATGATGTCTATGTTGCTCATTACACAGTTTCTGCAGTATGTATTCATGAAGTCTCTGTCACAGGTTACACTCCTGCGTTGTCCTGTGCTCCCACACCACGAGTAGCTGACTGCCTGGCTATAATTCTTGCTCATATGCCTTTTGCCACAACACCAAATCACATCACATCTAGATCATCTCGCTTCACAACTTCAACCCCAGCTTTTGGTGAGTACTTGCCTAAATCGATGAGTAAAAAAAAAAAAATAAAAATGAAGTAATTTGCCAAATTGATAACGTGTATCAGAACCATATTTGCTACAGAATTGTATGGTTTTCTTTTCTGCTGATTGTCAACTTCCAGTCGAGTATTGTCCATCAACCAAATGAGAGCTAGCTGATTGATAGCATGTTCTGAACCGGTTGAATTGTGTAGCTAAGTCTTCTATGGAATGAAGTAGCCAGTTTAAATGTAACTATCTTTAGCCACCTCTTGCTGTGACTTAGGCGTTGCTGGGTTCAATTCTAGCTGTGGGTGATCTGGCAGTAGACCGTTTTATTTGATTTTGACAGCGGTATCAAGAGCTAAATGTTCATAAATCAGTAGCAAACTGCTGAACCTAACATTGCCTGGTGAGTTCACCAACAGCCCAAAAAATGCCCTGGTTGGTTTTGCGACATTCTGTAAAGCACTCGCAGCTAACTTTTTACATGCTCAATATTAAATGCATTACTTATAGTCTTCTGTAATATTAGTGAATCAGTTAGATATTAGGGTCATATTTTATAGTGTCTCATATATATATATATATATATGGGTGTGTGTGTTTCTCTCTTTTTGTCAGGTTTTGTTTCTGTTTCCAATTGACTGAAGTTTGAAGTTGAAGTTCAAACTTTAGTCAGTTGGAAACAGAAACAAAACCTGGCAAAATTGACTGAATGTGTAAGTAAGTAAAAGTAATGGACCCTTTTCACACCAGCGGCGCATTGGGTATATGGTGCTAGACCAATATATGCATAGACCAGTTGGCCCATGATGGGTGATGTGGTCAGTGTCATGCCGGCCACCTTTACCTCCTAAGACATTATCTAGGACCCATTTTAGGCTGGGTTAACATAGAAGCCAATGTCATTTAAAAAAAAAAAAAAAGTTAAACTGGCAAGTGGAGCGACCAGCCATGCTGCTCTGACAGTATGTTGTGTGTCTAGAAATCTGTTGCTGTTACTACATACTATGATGATTTCAAACTACATAAATTAGACAGGCAGTGTTCACAGATAAAACCCCAGTACTACTGTGGCATGGAATCTCGAAGAAAGACAAAATAAGTGGCTAATTCACCGAAAACATTGTGTGGATTTTGAAGCTGGGGAGCATAAATTTGGTCAGAGCTGGGCCGGATTTACTGTAATTATATATTCTTGTTGTATCGTCATGTACGGCATATACATTGTGTAGGGCTTTCAGTTGATTTCTACACTTTATGGTGTCATTTTAATTTTTTTGATATCGCATCTGTAGTCTCTTTTTTGGGTCAGTTGAGACAAGAAAGAAAATTGGTAGAGAATTCTTAAGAACTATATAATCCTATCTTGATATATGGAAGTGAATCATGGACAGTTGGGCGATTAGTGAAAAATTATTTGGGAATGGTGGAGGTGTAGTTTTATAAACGAGTAATGAGAATATCCTGGACAGATAAAAAAGTAATGAAGATTGTCCTGAAAGAAACTGACTCACGAAGAAAAACTGATTGCCAACATTACAAGAAGACAATCTACATTCTTTGGTTAGGTCATGAGAAGGAGAAAAAGTGAAGTACATTTAACGACGTGAAAGTTGGAGGGGAAAAGACGCAGAGGGAGCCGGAGAGGGAAGATGTTTGAGAGTTTGACATCTTGGCATGGGAGATCATCTATGGCAGAATTTATTGAAAGTACACGAGATAGAAGATTGGGGACAAACATGACTACCAATGCCACACGGCATGGATTGTAAGAAGAAGTCTCTCTCATTAAGTTTCGTTGTAAGGTTTCTTTTAAACATTCTTACTTGTTTAGTCCATGTGCTTCCCAGTTTTGTTATTCTTTGTTAGCTGCATCTCACAGTGTGCTGATATACCACCATCTTTCTTTTTCTTATAACTATTAATACCAATGTTTCCCAAACAATCCTCTTATTTCCTTTTTTTTTTTCCTTTGAATCATCACATATTGTGTTCATCAGTTTTCCATTCACTCTGGCATTAATTTGTTTGTTTCTTTGATACGCTTAATATTTGCTGTTTGTCTTTAGTGGTTCTTTTACTTTCACTGGCACATATTAGAACTGAATTAACATTCGAATCGAAAATATGTAATTTAGTTTAACAATTGTTTGAATATTATGTTTTGTTTAATTGTTTACTTTACAGGATTAACAAAGACCTTAGATGGACCTGAAACATTACCTATAGACAGCACAAATACATCAGACGTCAAAGAACAGCCTGGGTCGGTTCAGAGCTCAGACTCTGAGTTTTACTGACCCCCCATTTGAGAAGAGACTTTACTAAACGTTTCGCCGAGGAAGTGTGTGCAGGTCCGGCACTTTTCGCTCACTTTCACAGCTGTTGTTGTCAAAAAGGTCCATATAAAAAATAAAATAAAAATGACAGTGTTCATAGCATTCCTGCGTGTTTTCAAGAAATAGACGTTTCTTGCTGTGTCAGCATTAGTTAGTAAAGACATTTTATAGTAAGTCACAAGTTCAGTGCTAGCGAATGGAGACAATTGGTGTGAAGCCTGAGCCCATTGTTGTTGTTCTTGTTCATGGCGCTCGCCAGTTGTAAATTCCAGCAAAAAAATTCTGGTTATTTATCCATTCGTGGACTTCGATCTTGACCCAGAACGTGAGTTTTGTGTGTGCATTGGTTTTACAGATTTGCTTATTTGTATGCAGACTGTTAGTTCCTTGCCCCTGTGGCAGATGCACAGCTTTGAAGGAAGGGAACCCACTGATGTATAAACAAGCAGGCAACATACGGTTTGCCTAAAAACCAAGTTCTTGCACGTTTGGTCATCTTGATAACAATTCCATGACATGTTGCTTTAAAGCAGAGGTTCTCAACCTGTGGGTCGCGACACTTTTGTCGGTTGAACGAGACCTTCACAGGGGTCACCTAAGACAATCAGAAAACACATATTCACTGAAGTTATAAAGTAACAACGAAAATAATTTTATGGTCGCGGGTCACCACAACATTATGAAATCTATTAAGGAGTCGCAGTGTTAGGAAGGTTGAGAAGCACTGTTTTGACGGGACAAGAGTTTTTTTTACTGCATCAAGAAAAGATATAAAACCGAACGAAAAATATATCAGCAAGCTTCACAATATAATGAACACAAACAAAATGTGAATGTTGTGGCTATGGAGCCTTCATCAGCACATATATACATAAAACAATACCACACAAATGCACAAAATCACTTAGCTCAGTATCTCCAAGCAGCCAGGATGATGTCTTGTCAGTAAACTGACTAAACATGTGGGCCAGGATGATAAATACCCCGGGGAAATTCCAGGCTGTAACTGGAGGGTGTTAGATAAAACAGTGTGGGCAGTTCAGTCCTCTGGGTGTTAGAGTGCCCAAAGTGAAAATAAAGCGATTTTCAAGAGACTTGCGGTTTCTTGTCACCTCCTTGTCGTGGACACCTTGGTGATCCTGGGAATTGAAAGGCAACGCTAACTGGTTTGAAGGCTGCTTGGTTAAATTAGAACTATGTTTCTGGTAAGCTGTGGATGTTATGCTAAGAACAGTTTGTCATTAGTTTCATATGGCTAACAATATTTAACAAATCAGTAACATTGTTTACAGGAAACCCAGATTCTGTGCTTGGAAATGGATGTCATTAGGGAAAGTCCTTGCCATTATAGCAGATTAATTAGTTAGTTAATCGACAGATTATCCTCATTATATGTCAGACAAGTCCATAAGCGCTTGGATCCCATCTTCATTATGTCCCTCAGCATGTGGCAACTGATAGCACCAGTTCTATGTTGGTTTACTGTTCTTCTTTGGCCACCTGTATAGAGTTCATGTTTGGCGACACCTGTTTTGACCTGAAATTCTTGTAGTCTTTTGAGTGTTGCCAATACAGCGTCGTCTTCTGAATCATCTTCTCGCCCTGTCTCCTTGAGAGCATTGCGAATGTCAGCCTAGTCTATTGCTTTTCCTGTACCTACTATGGCCCTGCCAGCAAGCCAATCCGCGCGTTTATTCCCTCTAACCCCAGAGTTTCCTGGCACAAGAATGAAACTAAAAAAGGAGATTAGGAAATATACAGTTTATTGTCACGTGTTTATAGCTTGCCTACATTCGAGCCCTACAGCTATACATTTGTTAAGCTTAATAATGATGACTCTATTGAGTTATCAAGAAACATAATATTCTTGCTGTATCAGCATTAATCTATATAGTTATTTTATAGTCAGTTTTGAAGCAACAGTGTTTAAATGTGAAGCACTTGTTTCATGATTTATAACCATCAATATATATATATATTACTGTAAACATCTTCTGCCCTTTCCCACCAAACTGAACACAGATCTTCAACCAACTCACATGGTCTGTACCCACAAAAGCCTGCAGGTACCCTAGTTATAACTTTGTTGGAGGTTGAACTTGATATTTGGGATCTGACTTGTTGGTCCGTTGTATTTAATCTCAGGATGGAATGGTAAACCTTTAGGCAGAAGCCTAGGTGGGAACAGTCTGATGAGTCGACCTAGACTTGTTCATAGTTGGCTAATCGTTGAACTAAATGTTTGTATGGGATGCTTACTTAGTACTTACTTTGTTGCTCCTCTTCTACCCAGGGGTGTGTAGAAGTTTGCCACAGAGATTGCCAGATGTCTCTATCAGCAGTTTTCTATCCATTCCAGTCCTCTGTCAGTTAGGGACTGTCGGAATTTGTCTTCCCAGCTGACCCTGGGTCACCCTGGAGGTCTGGTTCCCTGGTTCTTAGCCTCCTATGCCTGCCATGCTGACTGATCCATGCGGGTTTGTAAGGATTGAGTATCAAGATCTTGACATATTGTCTGATTGCGGACTTTGTCCCTTGTCACTTGGACCACCTTTCTCAGATATCTCATTTCTGAGGCCTGAAGCTGGCTTTTGTGAGTTGTTGTCATTGCCCATGACTCACACCCATAGATCAGGACTGGTACATAGGAAGAACGGTAAACAGCCATTTTCATCCTCTTGCCAATTTCTGTTTTGCTAAGAAACCCTTGGTTTATGGCCTGGAAGAGTCTCCCAGCAGCTGCTTTTAAGTCTTTTATGGGATGGAGTTGTCAAAAAACACATGGGATGTGGTTAGATCCATCTGAGCCCCACACACATACACCCACAAGCACGCACAAATTGGTTTAAGTGCAGGGTGTTGCTAGGTTGTTCTCCATATGGAGTCAACTTGACCTTTCAAGTGTGTAAAACATTCTAGACATAAAGATCAACGTATGTTTACTGACGAATCTAGACTTTTGGTGTATGTACAACTTGCTTTGTCAAATAAGGCAGAGTGGATAAAGTACGTTTCACTTGCAGGTACAACTATACTTTTACTTTGTATGTATCTTGCTTGGTAAAATAAAGTATAAAGTTTCTTCTTTTTGTTCGTCCGATTGAAGTAGTAGCATTGCACCTGTTTACAGCAAAGCTGCTATTATTGCGCATTTCAGCTGGCACATCGGACTTCCCATAACTGTTTAACGTATGATGTTTTGCCTACATACAACTTGCTTGGTCAAGTAAGGCAGAATTGATCAACTTATGGTCATTGATCTTATACAACTTGACTTTTCGTATGTGTACAACCAGGTACAATGGACCAGCCTTTACCAGAATCACTAACAATTAATTATATAATATTTAAATAATGCGGATATATATAAATTCATTACGGGAAAACATTGTTTTGAATTATATAATAAGCATGCTGGCTGTTAAACCAGAAATGGTAATCATTTTCTTATATGCAGTTGGTTGACATGGGGTGAAGTGCACACAAAGGCAAAAACAAATAATCTGGTGGACTGGTTAAATATTGGGTGATGAAGGACGGAAGACAACACACATATGGACATCACATTGAAATCCTGCATCCATCAAAGATGTATGATGCATAAAGTATTAACAATCAGCACCAACAAAAGACACACTCCAATAGCTATTTCTCCTCCAAAGAAGCATTGATTGGCTGTCGTAACATTGGGAGTAGTTATCGAGGTGTATCTTTCCTGAGTGCCAGTAATATCCATATGATGTTATTAATTATTGTATACTGTGTGAATGAAATGAAAGCTTGCATAGTTTTAAAGATACAATTATCAAGGATGTCTTTGGTAGTAGCACATATTTTCATTTAGGTCATTAGTTAATATGTAAGCGTCGTAAGCATGTGATGACAACAGTGGTTCTGAAATCTCCTGCATTTATTGTGGAAATTTCTTTTTGTTTTTTTTTCTTTTATTTCACCCCGTCTTAAGGAGTCCGAGATTTCAGGGAGGAGGGATCCTGGAAAGATCCAAAAGTATAGAGGTAGTAGGGTAAGACATCTTTTTCTTCTTCGTGTTCACCAGTTGTAAACTCTGATGGAAAGTTCTGGTTGTCTATCCACTTTTGGACTGCAGTCCTGTTCCAGAACCTGAGTGTTGCGTTTGCATCCATTTTACAGATCTGACTCATGTGTATGCAGACTGCTGGTTCCTTGCCTCTCAGGCAGATGCACTCCGATTTCGAAGAAAGTTCCCAATTAGTTTACTCTTACAGCATGCTTTTGAAAAGGCAGTGGGTCTGTTCTTGTTTTCCCTTTAATAGGACCCTGGAACCTACAGGGGGAGGGTAAGAAATGAACACAGACTACCCTAACACCTCCACCCCCCTTACAGTTAGACTTTCCCAGGAATTCCCCACAAAATCTCTTGAGTCCCCAAGAATGGGTTAAATAAGATAACCTTTCATTTTTAATGTGAGCAGGTCATGCTAGTCACACTTGCCATCCCCCATGGGCTGTGATTCCTATGCCTCCCTATAAGCAGAGTGAAACACTATCATCTGGAGAAAGCCACAAATTAGTAAAGGTCATTGTGTAGTAAATAGGAAGCAGAAAATTCAGGAGTGGTTAATATTTGTTTTGTTTTGTTTTGTTAAAAGAGTCATTGTCTCAGGCACTGTTTTGTATTGCATAGTTTTAAACTAAGTCTGGCTTGTTAGTGTTCTGGGGTTTCTCATGGTCTTTATGATGTTGTTGAACAGGTTGTAGAGTTGTACTTCATGAAGGCTGAGCCAGTTTGATGTTTTCAGGAAATTATTTTTGAGATTTATATAATTGTAAATAATGAAGTCACACACATTTATATTGCATAGTTTATTATCGAACATATTCAGTTACATTTTGTTAGAGGCATAGCCCCTGTGTGGGTTCTGGGGCTTAATTTAATAAAAATAACATTTAAAGGGAAGGGAAGGGGGGGGGATTCCTTA